CCCCTTTAGGGCACGCAACCAACTGTCCTAGGCGGTGTTTAGTCAGTAGGAGTCTGACATAACCACACAGCTGGCTCTGTGGTATCCTATGAAGGATTCACCGCCTCCTTCCCCCGTTGGAAGGGTGGTTCCGAACCCCTGAAGTTGAGAGCCGAAAAAAAAATTGATAAGCACAGACGCCAATAGACACGGACTGCCAGATTAGTCTGCTCATAACCGCGCATTATCTGTGGGTGTATTTCGGATACTAAGAACAGATATATTGTAAATTGTAAACTAAGCTGAAGAATAAACATTTTTTTTTTTTTTTAATATTTATCGGACTCTCAATACTATACAAACGAACGACGTACCTTCCAAGTTTTAATCAGTTTCTAGGTTCAAATATATATAACCAAAATAAAAAATTGGTTATTTGTGGTAAATAAACATTAAAAAGTTCAAAATCAACGGTGTGCCCGATTATTTAATGAATGTTTTTTTTACAGTTCTAAAGACTAAAATCTGGTATTAACAAAATTGACTACTAGACTTAGCCTATATGTAAATAAAAATTTGCCTGAAATACGGTGACTATACCAAAGGATTTCTTTAAGTTTAACAAGAAATAAATGAATACCCTACATATGTGTTTGACTAATAATACAATAATAACATTAATTCAAATTTAATCAGTTTTACGACTAGCAGGAAGCTTTATCCTATTAGAAATATCATAATAACAGTAAATCACCTTATTGATATGAGTACATCTCTAAATAACATTTGGCAAAATGAAATATATTTATCTATTATATCTTCACGCAGACCATACATTATGGCGTTTGATCTTCAGAGAGGATCAAACGCCATAATGTATGGTCTTACATACATCATTCGCCTTATTCACTTCTATAACTCTATTCATACAAACTCGCCGACAAAAATGCGACATATTTCCTAATTTTTAACTAAATCATAAAAGTAATTAAATAAATATAATTTGGCAAGACAATCTTATTTGTTTTATAACAAACATTTTGGATTTATAAACTTTAATGAATATTAATTTGTCGGTGGACTAGAAACGTTTCAGCTAAATATTTATTATCTACTAAATACTTATCAACTATCCAACACAAATTACTTGATTATAAATAAATCTATACCATAAACAAATATGTTTTTAAAATATAATTTGTATCGGACTATAAATATTTTTAATAATACATAGAATCGGATTTTCTTTTCAGTTTTAAGACGATTATTTTTATGGGAAATTAGCCATGATAGCTATTTCCTATCATTTTTTAATGTTATCAACTAATTTAATATTTAAAATTGACTTACGTGAATAGTTTGACCAGACACATGCATCATTCACTTGAGGTTTTCAAAACACATTTCATTAAAAATCCTTTTGAATAGCTAAATGCTAATAATATTTTTGGTTTTTTGTTTGACCTTTTCCATAATAGGTAGAGCTTTGTGATTATTCGATTGCTTGGAGATAAGCCTGTGCTCAGTATAGAGAGCACAATTAACAAAAACTGTAATATTATTTACTAGTAAAGATCGACTTCACCATATATACATCAACATTTGATACATAATAGACTACTTCATTGTCTACTCTGCTCTAAAATATATGTTTTAATATCATAAAGTAAGACAGAGCACTATGTAGTTGACGCTATACCGAAAATTAGTTTCCAGAATACAACCTCTCAGTACAAAGACACTCAATGGTTGTGGCTTCCATAAATTGCCACGATCCTTCCATACAGAGTTTTCAAGCTAGCGTAACATTTCGACACTTTCCTTTTGGAGCAGTACCATCGGCGCGCGGGCTTATTTTCATTCGTCGTCAACTTGTACCAATTGCACCAATATGTATTGCTCCCGTAGCGAAGGATGTAATTACCGCTTCTGGTCGGCAACAGTTCGACGTCTGAAACGTAGAACGTTTGCATTTGTTTGTTTTTTTAGATTTGCTCAATTCACACTACCCAGTAAATAGGCACAAATACACACCGTGCAAATAAACTGGGCAAGATCTCTGTCTTTTGACGCCTGTGTGGTCATGTAATTATAGATATAAATACGCTAAAGGCATTATACAGTAAAATATATTTTGTCTGTACCGACACGAGTCTGACGCACTCAATATCTATATATATAAATTATTTCCGCCGTGTGTTTTCCACAGCCCTAGGAACAGACTATACTACTATATTAGTCACTACTAGGCAAAGATTTATACGTAGAATCTGAAAATTTATAGCTTAGAACCACAGTTGTTTGTGAGACCACTAATGTGTGTATTTATGTATCATCTATGAAAATTTCTGTCCAACTCTGTTCTGTTTCAATTGTTCAATTATCACAGTTAATGAGATTTACCTTTGGGCCAAGCACACGCTCTTGGGTCCTTGTCTCTGGTATTTTGAAATACCTAACTTTACTTTGGTTGGTTGGCTCAATGAAATATTTATATTTGAAAAATATCATTATCAATCATTATAAAACATCCATGAAAAAGTAGCAATTCAAATAATAAATGTGCTTTTATTTATTCACAAACACTAAATATACTTTCAGCTGGCTTGTTTTTAACCATTCAAAAAAATAAACGAACAATATCCAAACATTTTCTTTGATTTCCTGAATTATAATAATTCCCACATACGAGGGTCAAACTGAAAGTTCTTAGAAAATCAAAAACTGATTACATTAGCCAGTTATTAGTTTTATTATATCTTTTCAAAATATTGTCCATTCACGTCAATACACCGCTGCATGCGATGGAACCACTGGGAAAAGCACTTTGCCCACTCGTCCTTAGGGGTCTCTTCAATGGCATCGCGATACGCAGCCACCGCTTCTTCAGCATTCATAAACCGCTTTCCTTTAAGTTTTTCTTTAATTTTTGGAAATAAATAAAAATCACAAGGCGCGAGGTCGGGGCTATACGGCGGGTGACCCAGTAATTCAACGTTTGATGTCGCCAAATAGTCGATCGTTCGCTTGGCGGTGTGCGACGAGGCGTTGTCGTGGTGAAGGAGGATCCTACTGCGAGGTCGTTTCTCTCGAACTTTTTCCAAGACAAGTGGCAAACAATTGGTAGTGTACCATTCTGCAGAAACTGTTTTTTGATCCTCTAACACAATTGTTGCAAAATGACCTATCCTTCCAAAGAACGAGGCCACCATTTTTTTTCCCGCACCTCGATCTCTCTTCACTTTAGTTGGCAACTCCTCGAAAGGAAACACCCACTGAGCAGATTGTCTTTTGGTTTTAGGATCATAACAGTAAATCCAGCTTTCGTCACCTGTTAGTATGTCGAACACAGCATTTGAGTCACCTCCGTTAAATCTTTCAATCATTTTACGACACCAATCCACACGATGGAGTTTTTGAGCCTCAGTCAAATTATGAGGTATCCACCGGGCGCAAAGCTTCCTGACCGCTAAATGTTCGTGGAGGATTTTGTGCACTTGACTCATACCGATGCCTAAGCTTGTCCGAATCTGTTGATAGGTCACTCTTTTGTCAGTCTCTATCATACGCCGCACAACACAGATGTTATCTTCAGTCGTCGCCGTAGAAGGCCGTCCCTCACGTAAATCATCAGTGAGATTAGTGCGACCACGTTTAAACTCATTAAACCAGTTGTAAACAGTCGCACGAGATGGGGCTTCATCGTGAAAGGCCAATCGTAGTCTATCATAACTTTCTTGTTGACTTAAATGACATCGAAAGTCATAAAAAATCATTGCACGAAAATTTTCTCGTGTTAAATTCATGATGACGTGACACAGACAATTTTCAATTTGCCGCCAAATCGTAAAACAAATGACAAATGAATGAAATATATACTCAGTAATATTGGCAAAGAGTTATATTTTCAAATTTTAGAATTATTTTTTTATTATATTGTTTATAAGTGGCCAGTTCTAAGAACTTTCAGTTTGACCCTCGTATACACTTCAATCATCATGAAAAAGGGAAATGACCATGAATGTACTCACGCATTCAGTAATTTCCTTTAGTTCATTTAGTATACAACTAATAACAATGAAAGTGCTTTTTCCTCTGTAATGTTGTCACCAAAATATACAGCAACTTGATGATACTTAGGATATATTATGTTCCCTCGCAAACATTTTCAAATGTAGGAGGGCCAAAGTGGCCTATAAAATTAGTTAAATTCAGTCGAGTCGGATCAAAATGTTGATTAAAGTATCAATTGTAGTAATTCGAGTCAATGCTCCTCAATGCTTATGTTCGCCTTTGTGAAATAGACATCCCTCTATCGTCATAATAGATGCCTTGCACTTTTTGCTTGTCCTTTTTGAGCAATACCAAGTTTGTTTTCTATTTAAACTCTTGCCGTTAGTCCAATAAGTGTTTAGACCCTCCATTAATATATAAGTTCCTCGTTGAGTTTGTACTATAGAGAAATCTGCAAGTTTATTACAATATCAAAATTACGTATTAACAAGATATTTATATTAATATTCTAGACCAAATATTTTATTGTTTATATGCACCGAATAGGCTTCGAAAGTGCTAGACCGATTTAAAAAAATCTTTTATTTACGGGAAGTTAAAGTAGATGACATAGGCCGTTAATTTGCGCGGGCGAAGTGATTTTTTTAATTAAACCGTTTTAAAAAGGCATTATTAAAGTGAACGATTATAGTAACTTCTATTCAAATCGGATGGTTCATATTATTTACCTACGGCTACACAAAACCTTGCCGGACTACGGTAGAATTATGTGATTCTTGTATTAAGTTTTTTTAAGACAATTCTTTTATTGCAAACAAGACAGTTCATACAAGACATACTTCGTATCTAGAAAAAATGTATTGTCTTTTCCACTCGAATTAAATTACAAGTAAATAATCAACAATGCTCTTCTATCAAAGAATAGTCAGGGCATTCTTTTGTACACTTTTATTCTTTTATTCACTCTTCATGTGAGTATATAAAGTAGCATCTTATAATATAGAATATTAACATTCAACAATAGCCGGTTTTTTATCATCCTTCTAAGAAAAAAAAATGTTAATTACCTTAATTATCATATAAAGTTAATCAACAATTCCCACAGCAACTTAAAGCTAAATAATAAAAGAACTAATCAGTCTTATTTTTTATTGGTCAGACGATCGCCGGTCATTTGTAACACTCGAGCTTTCAAAAACATAATTTAATCATTCTCTATCGTCATTTTGATTTATTATTATCGCTTGTAGAGCTTAAAATCCTGCGATACAGAGATTCCAGTTTTCCGAGATGAATCCCAATTCTCATGTGCCAAGATTTTTAAGGTAATATAATTTATTGAAGCATCATAGATAACAGAAAGAAATGACTACATATTTGGGGGATGAATGGCAAAGTGCCTATATTAACATGTAAATCTAACAGAATATCGCCGATTACTAAAAGCCATGGCAGTGGAAGTGCCTATTCCTAAGTCATGTTGCCGCCAAAATGAACAGCAGATAATTCCCTTGTGATTATTTTTAAACGAAAGAGGACCAAAAGTGACCTATAAAATAAGTTATTCGCTATTCAGTTGAGGGATCAAAATATTTGTTTCAAGTTTAGTCGTGTAGCTTTTATTTATGAATTAATCTCCACTTAAAAGCGCAATTTGGTAATATTTTATTATAAAAATACAAATTGAATAAAATCAGTGTTATGTTAATAACTTAAATACTAACATTCAGCGGGTTGAAATACAAACAGTGTTATTAATAAACAAGGTTTAGCGTTGAAGTAAATTTACGCTGTGACTGCACTTAGTATTAGTCAAAATTCATATTATTCAACAGAGACTTGGCAAAGGTTAACCTAGTACGATATTTCTACAGGTGTAATATTTATTCCTAGAAGGTAGTATTTTCTGAACAGAGTTTGCTTATTTTCTGAATAATATAAATTTGGATTAATACTAAAATTACAATTTTAGCGTAAGTTTACTCTGACTCTAAAACTTGTTTATTAATAGCACTGAAAGAGATTAAAGTTAGTCTGTGAAATTGGAAGCGCTAATCACACGTATGGTTGCCTTTGATATACAAAATGTCTTCGTTAAACATTTTGACCGAGGCTCGGCACTTTGTCATAGTTCTCCTTGAGCAGTACCAAGTCGTTGTTCCCGTCAATTTCTTGTAATTAGAAGAAAATTTGTAGCCATCGATATGTAATAAATAACCACCTCGAGGTAAAACCGTTATCATGTATTCTGAAAGCATAATTTTAATAATTTTAAAGACACTGTTAAGATCATCATAACAGATGGATATGCTTATATATAATATTTAATCTTAATATATCTTAAAATAACATATTTTAAAGTCGTAAGCTATCACACACGGTTAAGAGGTTTAAATATCTTAAGGCAGTACTCCTACCCCGTACCCCGCACCTGACACCGATAGCAAAACTTGCGGTATAGGCCTATCTATACCTGAAATATACATATATTTCCGTATTGTTTGGCATCTTGAGATACTTAATATACGGAAAATATGATATTATCTAAGCCATGTGTGTTTGGCAATTGGAAGCTATGGCGAGCGATATTTTATCTTAAAATATCATAATATAGCATCTTAACCGTCTGTTACGATCTTTAAGGTGAACGTCCACTTTGCACACAGGCACGTAACGGATTTTTCATAGATTTGTATTTGTATAGCACTCCATCTACTATCTGTACAAATAGCACCGATCGCAATGCTACGATGCGTGCTGATGACGTTATACGGATTACTTCAATAGAATTCCGTCAAAATTGTAGTGCCAAAAATCCGAATACAGTGGAAGTATGACAAGGGCAAATTCATTAAACTGTTTCATAAGGTGCGTGCGTTGTATGCGTGCGTTGCGTGCGTGCATATATGGACATTTACCTTTAGACAAAGAGCGTTATCACAAACGTTTTAAAATAGTCGGTGGTACGGTTCAGTCCGTACATAATGTCATCATATACAGTAAGAAAATACATATAAATGTAAGAGAAGATTTGATTTATTTTTAGACAAAAAAATTGCATAGAAATGAAACCTCTTTTTACTACTTTGGCCGTTTAATCACAAATATGTAACTTATAATCTCAACACAAGCAGCATTTTAAAAGCAATGGAATAATTAACATTGATTATCGCACACACACAGTACACATACATGATTCAATTATAAAAAGTAACAATTGACACATACTCATACGAATTAATTAGAATTAGATATTATCTTTGCACTTATTACTTGCTTACTTTCGCCAGCGGCTTCGCCGGCGTGGTCGCTAGGGGAATGTTTAGTGGGGAAAAAAAACCCTATTATCTAAGTTAGCTAATACCCTATCTGTATACCAAATTTTACCAAAATCCGTTCAGTAGTTTCGGCGTAATTGACGCACAAACATCCAACCAAAGAAACTTTCACATTTATAATATCGAAAGGATATGTTTCGTTTACACCTATTCTATCACTTAAAATTAACTTAAAAATCTACTTAATCACGTGTAAACTAGCCATAACAATCATACTATAGTTTTATATGTTAAATTTTCATTTATTTTATTAATGTGTATGTCCGCCGCTATAAAATATCATATGTCGATTAAAAGTCTTCACTGAAGCCTGGCATAATGTCCACCTTCTCTTCGAACAGTACCAAGTGACATTTCTGTCCATATTCTTGCCGTGAGTCCTGTAAGTGTTTTGGCCCATCAATAGCACATAACCTCCCCGCTCAGATTGCAATATAGTGAACGCTGCAAGTAAATTATAAAATTTTCAGCTATCAATCATTAAATTGAATCTTGGCATAAATAATGTAATAATGCAATACCAGAAATGATGTAAACATTTGTAATGGACTATTTCTTTTAGATAAAATAAATATCTGTACCAGAAATAGTCCGCTCTTCCATAATACATTTGATATTTCGTTTATTACAATTGTCTTCACTTATTACATAGTACTCGCCTTGTGAAAGAAAAAAAAAAAAAAACAAATACAAACAAATAAAATAAAATTAAAGCATGCAAATGAGTGTGTGCGCATGCCAGTTTGAATATGTATATGCATAGTATGACACGTAAACACTGGCATACTTATGTGTGCCTTTGTGTGTGTGTGTGTGTGTGTGTGTGTGTGTGTGTGTGTGTGTGTGTGTGTGTGTGTGTGTGTGTGTGTGTGTGTGTGTGTGGGTGTGGGTGTGTGTGTGTGTGTGTGTGTGTGTGTGTGTGTTTGGGTGAATTATCGCTTTGAGTGGTAAAATCAGTGTAAATTAGTGTTTAGTCTATTAAATTTATTGCAGTAGATTTTCAACATGATTATAATTTAAAGATTTGAGAAATTTAATTAGATTTTTTTTAGTATTATATGAAGTCAATGTGTATATATTAATTATATTATTTATTTTATTGTATAAGTGTGTAGATAACTTTTCAAATTGACGACTTGCAAATACTGTATTTACCGGCTTTGCACGAACAACTACATTTTTATTCCTTTTGTTTTGTTTTTCAGGGATATAAGTCAATAATTTATGTTTTTTTTAAATCGCGTGTAATATAAAAAGTTTTCTCACTGATAGGACATCACACAACGTATACAGTTCCTCTGTAGGGAATCTGCGCTGTTTAAAATACATCACTTTAAGAAGGGACCTTTGAGACCTTTCTAATGCTAAGAATTTTGTTTTAGTAGCTCCACCCCAAACAGCAATGCAGTACGTCAGTACGGACTGCACTAATTGGATATAGATTATATTCAAGAGATTCTTTTCTGAATTTTTATTTTGAGTAGATTGTGAGACTACAGAAGTAGGAACCACATGCCTTAGGCTTTTAAATATCCATATAAATTTTCTAACCCTACTTGAAATTTGTTCAATTTGATTATGCCATGATAAATTTTCATCTATTATGATTCCAAGGTATCTTGTATTGCTAACCTTTGTGATTTTGGAACATGTACAAATTCTATTATTATTATATTTACCATTATTGTTATTTTTATTATCATTATCATATACATTATTATTGCATCTATGTATTGTAATATTAAAATCGCTTTTTGGTTGTGTTCTGTTCCTAAGGGTAAAGCAAATATAATTTGTTTTTTTAGTATTTAAGGTGAGCAAATTACTGTCAAGCCAACAAGCGATCCTTTTCATTCCCATTTCTACTTCGATACGTAAGGTATCCCAGGAAGAACCTTCAAAGACTACTGCAGTATCATCTGCATAGGAAAATATGTGAGCATTATTTATTTTCATGTTACACAGGTCATTAATGTAAATTAAGAACAGCGTAGGTCCCAGTACACTGCCTTGCGGAACACCATATTCAACTATCTTATTAGTGCTCACATACTCCTCTACCCTCACCTGCTGAGACCTATCCAAAAGGTAATCCCCGAGCAGCGCTAAAGGTAAACCTCTTATTCCAAGTTTCTCTAGTTTAGTCATCAGGGTCGGGATGGATACGGTATCAAAAGCTTTTTTTAGATCAATGAATACAGTTAAACATTTTTTTCGTTTATCAAGTATATTAACGATTAAGGAACTTAATGCAATCACCGCATCTTCTGTCGATTTACCCTTTCTAAACCCATACTGTGATGGAGATAATAGATTAAATCTGTCAAGATATTTCATAAGCCTAGTGTTTATTAGCTTTTCCAGTATTTTTGATATAGATGTTAAGACTGAAATTGGCCGATAGTTATTTATATCATCACCGTCCCCTCCTTTGTGGATTGGTGTTACTATCGATTGTTTCAGCAAAACCGGAAAAACACCATTTCTGAAGCAAGTGTTAGCTAGATGGGTGATAATTGGTACTACCTCGTCCTTTGCAAGCTTAAGATATCTTGTTGAAATCTTATCCCATCCCGAGGCACTATCAGTTTTTAAACTTATCAATATAGAGCGAACTTCATCGCAGTCTGTATCAAACATTACAAAAGACTGTGAATGCTCGAAATTTGAAATTTCGTAATTTTTTGAATTTTCTACATTACCCTTATTTAGAATATCGTTTGCCAATTGTTTACCAATTCCAGTAAAAAAGTCATTTATATAATTGACAGAATTTTGTGGACAAGATTTCAACATTAATAACTCTTTAGTTTCATTTTTGTTTTTTTGTGTATAGGTAATATTCTTAATGCTATTCCACAGACTTTTTGTACTATTACCAGTCAGCGATAACTGTTCCCTCTCATATTTGCGTTTTAATTTCTTAATCAAGTTGTTACAGAAGTTACGATAACGTTTATAACTAATATTAAGTATTTCATTATATTTTTCAATCCGTACCTGTTTTTGTAACTTATTGCGATGCTTAATACATCGCAATATACCTGGCGTGACCCATGGTTTAATCGTACGCTTTGATTTGGGTATGTTTACTGTTATGGTATTTTCATCTAAAGATTCTTTTAATTTATTTATTAATAGCTGAGTTATTACGTTCGGGTCATTGCATAAAAGTATCTCGCAGTTATTTTTTTCTTTTAACGTAGTAAGGGCTTTTTCAAAATTAATAACAGTTTTTGTTTTGGGGCGCGTAAACTTATTTTTTAATTTTGAGAGTTTTAAAAAGGTAGTGAAATGATCAGTGATTGAGGTGTATAGTATTGCAATTGAGGCAGATAATTTTTTTCTATCTATTTTTAAACTAAAGTGGTCAAGACAACTATTTCCCCGAGTAGGTAAGTTGTGACCGGGTAATAATCCATGTAATGCTAATATATTTAAATAATTCTGTCTATTATTCTGTTCGTATGTGCTTTCGTTTTCTTTTAGTATAGTGTTTATGTTAATGTCGCCAGCTATTATTATACTTTTATGCGATTTCAAACTAACAAGGTGATCGTCCAGATGTTGCAAAAATATATCTGCATTTTTGTTAGACGGTGATCGATAAATACATAATATAACGTAACCCAAAATACTCAACTGTAGGCATGACGCGTGTTTTAATTGAATTTCCCTGACATTTGATATTATAGATTTTTTTATGTAAACTACGATACCATCGTTTTGATTTAAATGATACGTTGTTGCAAACATATTGTAATTAGTTAATTGCGGGATGGGTTTCTCCGGAGAAAGGCGACACTCGGTGAGAAGTATAACATCAGGGTCAAACCTCAAGCAAGGCAACAACAGTGAAAAATCGTCGAAATTGCAATATATGCTGCGAATATTTTGGGAAATCAAAGTAAAATCATGTTTGTCAATACATATATTATTTGAAAGTTCACTTACATCACACTGCACAGAGTGAGCTATCTCATAATGATCTATATCATTTATAATTGTATTGGTGTTATTCATTAATAAGATTAAGGTATGCAGTTTTCATTCTAAGCATACGACAATACACGTAAATAAAAAACAGGCCCTCTCTTATTTTCCCAAAGCAATATGGTAATATATTTTTAAAGTGTATGTACTTTCGACGCAATGTATGGAAAACATGAGAGTTGTGTATTCTATATGTTACTACAAAGCATGTACTAAATAAGTGTGGGGTATATATACGAATAATAATAAATGTTGCATACAATGTAGCATGATATGTGTGAGTGAAATGCTTCCTTTTGTAATATTGTACCGCAGAAGCAAATGACCACAGTATATTGTCTGAACAGCGCTTATCAATATAGGCGGAGTATATTGTACCATTTACAAAAATTTTTCCCATATATAAAACATATCTTATACCATAACAGTATATTCCAATGTAATTCAGAACAACACACAAACTTAGTTCATTTATATCACATTTAGAATAGACACACTCTGTAATATCTAAAAGTACCCTCTTTTCTTTAATTTTTAATATTAACTTTATTATTTTGCAAATAATTACAGAATCGTAATAGTAGGGCGAGACGTTTTTTATTAATAAAATAGAACGTTTGTTGTATTTTCCACGCAAGGAGGAAACAGTTATTAGTTTATGCATTTGAGCATAGATAGTCTTATTCATGCAGTATGAGACAAATTTATATGTTATTGAGAATATAATACACGTTTCTGGCAATCGTATGACATATATTAAAGCAAGAAATTTTGTTTTGTAGTTCACAGATTCTCTATTTATAGTTGTATTAAAGGGAGACAAAATGCTTTTATTAGATAGATAATAAATGTAATATTTATAAATGCGAGACATGTCAACACAACAATCATCAACACAAAGCAATAGGCACACATCAATATCAATACAAAGATAACAATCGTATTTTAATAATAATTTTGGGTAACCTAGTCAATTGTCCTTGAATAATTGTTGTATTTGTTGTTCACTTCTAATTTGAATAACTGGAGAGATTTCATCCTTTCTCACATAAATTCTCCCAAATGACGTCCAACAAAATTTAAACGGTTTGGATTTCACCAGGTCACGTGCAAGGAAATACAGCCGTGCTGCCTTTACAGTCAGCTGTTCGCTGACAAAAATGGGATTATCTTCCGAAAAACGTAATCCCAGATGCTTAGCAGATAATTTCATTTTCTGATTTTTGTTGAAATCTCTGCAAGATCTTAGTATTCTTTTCTTCAGAAGTGTCGAACTGGTTTCCACAACAATCGATGTGTTTTTAATCGCATTATTTTTACCACGAGTTCTATAGATGTCACGAATATCTGATTTTTGTATCGAATCACCCACTGATCTTGATAAGGTAAACACCATATTTAATAGGTCTTCTGTCGTTTCGTTTGGTTTTTTTGGCACATTCTTTATCTCAAAATTAGCCTTTCTACCCTCTAGTTGCATAATCTCTAGTCTATCCTCTAGTGTAATGATATATAAATTATCTTGTTTTATTTTACCCTCCAATAATTCGACTTTCTTTTTTAGTTCTTCATTTTGTGCCGTTAGAAAGGAAATTGAACTTTCAATGCTTACACTTGTTTGTTGAATACCCTGCAGAATAACAGTATTTTTTTTGAATTCATGTTCTTGTGCAGCGAGGAGGGTTTTACACATATTTTGCATTTCTTCCCTAAGTGCTGTTATCTCGTTAAGAGAGTCGCTTTCTCTTCTCCTCTTCATTCTAGGAGCAAAACTAGGCGGCGTTATGAGAATAGAGTCCTGTCGTTGTAGTCCCACTCGGTCCACATCAGTGTCTGACAGCGATCTATTAAGATTATTGTTTATCTTCTCAGTCATCTTAATGCAGTTAAAGTAAATAGTAACACAATGTTCAAAGTTGACGGTATTAGAGAAGAATAATAAAAAAAAAAACAAACAACCTCTCCTAACTTATGCGGCTCCGATATAAACGACAAGTCGAACGTACTCAACGAATGTATATCAATCGAGATACCAGGCGAGCACGGTTTTCTGGGGGATTGATGTTCTGTTCCCACTCGCACACACTTTCAGAAAGTGGAGTGAACTCCGCTTTTATGACCAACTTCACTTTAGATTTATATCAGTAGTGGATTTGATTTAGTGGTCTCTTTTCAACTTACGCCGCATACGCATTCGTCGTTGCAAATGTGAAAACAGGGGCGTGGTCTTAGTTTGCTGCGACAATGTATGTGCTTTAACAAAAGTGCGAAAGTGATATCAATAGTAGCACATACCTATGTGGGCAAGGATGGAAACTGGTCCCACGATGAGAGTAGTGGCTCAGCAACCGAAAGTAAGGATTACCTCCTCGACCTTATGTCGTCCTATTTTCCTTTCGTTTTGTTTTTCACTTAGAATTTTATTTCTTGTGACTTGGATTTATATTTTATATTTCGCTCTCAATAAAAAAGACGTCTAGTACACGCAATGTAGCAGTGCTTTTTTTCTTTATTTCGTTTGCTCTTAGGTTATAGTTTTTTCGCTTGGATCTTTGGCCGAGAGAATATACACAAAGATCTACTATTAATAATAAATTAAATATTATTTATAAGGAAGGAAATGTAAGGAGGAAGACCGAAAAAAAGATGAATATACAGTGTAAAAGATGGTATGTATATTTAAAAATAAATAAATGTTGAGAAGACGGCTGATATACGGGAGAAGAATTAGGAAAAAGGAGTGCCAATGATGATTTATTTACAGACAGATAAAAACAGATAAAAAGTTTATTTTAGTAACTATACAGAACTACATTTACAAAGTTGGGAATAACATAAAAAAGAAACAAACAAACACAACTATGTAATCTATTTAAACTTTAAAAATCCAAGTGACTCTATTGAATATGGCTCGAATCATCTGGCACACGAAATTGGTGAGTTTCCAAACAATTTTCATCAATATAAATATTATTTTTTTCAGTTCTTTTAATAAAAATTAAAAATGTTTGTCATTTTTGCATGCACATCAAAAAACGCTAGGATTTGCCTGATGTGGTACTTTTACTTAAGTCACTAATTTACAAACAATGGCGTCAATTACACAATACAACAGTTTGATTGGATTTAACTAAATTATGTGTAGGTTATGTATCTACGTTACGCAATTATTAATCTAAAGGTATTAAATATTCAACATTGTTGTCAATATAATCTACCCTCAGGTATAACATTTATACTTAAACATCACGACTATTATTTATAGGTATACATAAACTAAAATGCGTTACCGTTTGAGTTTTCATCAAATTCAAATCTAATAAAGACAGCGCCATCTATCGGATATTGGATTTAAAGATACCACAAACTTGATATTACTCCTCAATGCTTATGTTCACCTCTGTGAATTAAATGTCCCTCTATAGTCGTAACTGATGCTTTGCAATTTCTGCGAGTTCTTTTTGAGCAATACCAAATTTGTTTTCCATCTAAACTCTTGCAGTTAGTCCAATAAGTATTTTGACCCTCCGTTAATCGATAACTTCCCCTTTTAGTTTTAACGATAGAGAAATCTGCAAGTTTGTTACAATATTAACATTACGTATTAAAAAGATTTTAGCTTAAAAATATCGAATACTATGGACATCACCATTTATTGATTGTATTACGGGAATCACTAGCTGTCAGTGAGCTGTCACTGTTACTTTGACATTGACATAAAATGAGAATTGCGCCATGTTTGAATAATTGAGTTAGTTTTATAATTTGTTTAAAAATATAAAATAAGACGATGAAACCAGAAAAAGTTGTTTGTTTAATATATACTAGCTACTACTAGCTTTTTTAACATGACATTGTTCGCGTAAATTAATCTGGTAAAAGCCTATATCATCCGCGTGTGATGTAGCTAACCGTATGTATATATGAAGTCACAACGTTAATATTAATTAATACCTATACAAAACTAAATGTACTTACTTGGATAATGTAAAATTTCGTTTGATAGATTTATTACGTTGTGGCGTTAATAAGCTTAAAATATTATAAATCTTTATTGCTTTTAAAAGTATATTGCAACAGATAGCAGCAAAGAGGATGCCATAGCGATGCGTTCGACGTCGAATTCAATGCTGTTTTATATAACTACTTTTATAAATTATTGAGTCATAAATAAGCCGTATATAATATATAAGTAATTACAAGTCATTTCTTTAAGTCTATACCAAAAAAATATATATATTTTCAATGAACTTATAACTTCATGGCACGTATTTCGATTTAGACCTGTTAACTTATTTTAAACTTCAGTAATATATCTTTTTGTCCAAAATCAATTAATTGAAGTTTTGTTTCCAAGTAGGTTTATTCTAAATTAAAATAAGGACTACATTAAGTACTCCGTTTACATCATTAACCACCTAAAGAAAGGTATGATGTCTGGGTAAAAAAATAGAAATTTTATTTACTCCGTCAGTCAGATAATATAAATATATTAAATACCTATTTTTTCTACTTCAATTTAACAAGAAATAGCTTAAATAATAGGCGATAAAGTTTAGGAGTGGGGGCTCGCCACGACACAATTTTGCAGAAAATGTACAAAAGCGTGACGTCATGTGATATTTCAACTCAATGTTTCGCAGTAATTAGATAAAAAATACGTGTTTAATATTTTTCAACAATGTTACTGAGGGACATTCAAAAAAATAGTTATCTTCCCAGTGAGGAAGTACTTTAAGAATAAAAAAGAAAGCACTAAAAAATCACCTCACTAGATGGTGACTCTACCAAAAGTTGATTTTTGCAGGTAACGAATGAACCATAGATAGTCATTTGCGTTCCATTTAACTGACATACATATTAAAAAATTTAAATTTGCAAAGTTCGAAACTTAAATATCAATACAAAAAACGAAAAAGTACAAATAGAATGTGAGTTCTTTATTGAGAATTGAAAGTTAATTTACTTTTATGCGCGAAAGAAAACCAGAGGGGTTTGTCATGGAGAAATCGAGAAAGTACAGTAGTGACATATAGTTTGATTTCGAGAACTAATGTTTTTTTTAATATTTCCTCATTGACAATGACAGAAGTAGGGTGCCGCAAACTTTCAAAAGTATCGATATTTTTCTCGATACCGACACTGACTAGATGCATAAGGCAAAAGACACTACTTATACTTAAACTACTAAATTACACGAGGACGAGTTGCGCAAGAAATATTTCTTCGAATGTTCTTTATATTTGAAAGAGCCCAGATACATTCGTTGTAGAGTAACCGGCATCTCACAATGATAGGTTCGAATATTATGTTCAAAATAATTGAAGGCCCTTGCTCCATTATTTACTTCAGGTAAATGTGTGTTATTGGCCTTTAAATTTCCTTTATATGTAGGCTTCTATTTCAGTTAATAAAGAATATTTGATTTTGCCATATACATTTACTACTTGCTACTTAACTGTTATATCATCATATCAAATTAAAAACATTTATTCAGTCTAAAGCTATTACAACCACTCTTATTAGTCCAAACTAAATCGTTTTGGTAAACTATGGAGACCTTGTGCTGAGAAAACCCGTCAAGAACCTCAGCAAGGGCTGCATTATAATCTCTGTTATATCGAATCGGAAAATAATTGCACTAGTCTATAATGTCAATTCCTATTACAATAATAAGAAAATATATACAATTATTCATTAGTCAATCGATTCATATAGTTATAGTGACTAGATAGGGTTAAAGTTACCATAAAAACCGTGAATATTGTGTAATTGATGCGTATGTTCGCCGACTATGGCGATAACTTTCCCACCGAACATCTTCACTCGCACTTGACATTTCTTGCTGACTCGCTTGGAACAGTACCAGGTGGTACGACCTTCTATGCACTTCATGTTAGTGGAAAACGAATGACAACCTATTCGCAACCGGTAGCCTCCGGTCGACAAATTCATGATTTTAACTGAAATCAAATGTTGGATCTATCAATACTTTTGTACACTGAAATCTTTGATCACGCATCATGAGTCGATACAAGAGTTACTGATCTTGGTTACTGCACGCGTAGCATGAGAAACTCGAAAAAGTCTACACCAAAAGTCACTTTTCTCCGGCCGAGAATGAGATATCGTGAATGATTGGGTGTAGGACAAAGGTGAATGTCCATATGTCACCACGCACGCACCGGCCGCACGACATGCAACAGATTATATTTGAAATTCCTATGACATCATCAGCATTATTCCGGCGTTAAAACTGACAGTTGAATTTGTCATAGGAGCATCTCTCAAAAATGCAGTGGACGTATGACATTGACAAATCTGTGCAATGCGTTGCGTTTCGTGCGGCCGGTGCGTGCGTGCTGAGGCAATGGACGAGCACCTCAAAATGTTCTCGAGTTCGTCATGCTTTGCGTACTATGATAAAATATTAAAGCTTCAATTATTATTTACGTATAATTAGTTTCATTCATAAAGTAGCTACTTTTTATTGGCATATTTATTAAAATAATTTGGCAATTGACTAAAGCTATGTATAAAAGTCTAGTATTTTAAATTTCATTAATGAATTCGAGCCACAGCTGAAATAATTACTGGTCACACCAAATTTGAGTGGCCAAATTTTTCGTAAGCCCAGTATAGATTTTATGATTTTATCCAACAAGCTAATCGTTGAATATAAAAAGTTATATATTTAAATTAAACATAAACAAGATAATCGTAGGAAAAATATAATTTTTTTTTGTTATAAATAAAAAACATTTTTCTATGAAAACTTTAATGGATTGCCTGAATGTTGATGAAGGTGCGCTCTGTGCGAAAAAGAAACAAGTGCTTGAAAAAATCGTCGGTCCTGTTAGGTCCTGGGTAGCTCAGTGGTTAGAGTGATCGTCCGGATTGGAAGGTTCGTCGGTTTGGGTCCCGTCTCGGAGTGCCAGGGACACAGTTGATATTTTAGGCATTTTTTACATTAACATTATTTTTCAGTATAGCATTGTGAATGTAAAATTGACCAAATATACCTAATCATAATTTTTCTTATTGTATTATAATTATATAAAAAGTGAACAAATAAAATCTTAAACATTTGAATAATAATTTTATTTTATTTTTTATATATTTTCTATTTAAAAAAGGAGCTAAAAAACACACATCAAAGAGTATTAAACCAATTTATTTTCTCTTTTATTACTACTCACCTCAAAAACAAATCGCATTTTTTCAAATGTACAACTATTATCTGTAGATACAGATTTGAAAACCGTTTACATTACTATTACATATAGACATCACGTATGAAATATCTTGTCAATGAAGACTGATAATATACAATCATTATATACAAACAAGACAACATTGCTTTCTCCAAGTTATATGTCACTTTACATAATTATATAAATGTATTAAGAAGATAAGACGCGTGCAAAATATATTAAGGTATATAAAGGGATTTTTTAGTTACTTCATCATCATAGCCCATTAAGAATTTGCGAATAGGTGTCATTCTTGTCTAAAACAAACAGTACTTTTTTAAACTTAGGCAGAATAAAAAAAAAAAAGATTTAACACTCCAACGTTTGCCCTTTAAAAAGCGGCCTCTCGTACAAAAAGTTTGTATATATGTATATCGACTAAAAACTGTTCCTGATTCTACGCAGTTTGGTGAAAATCAAGAGAACTTCTCTCACCACAACAGTAGAGTTGACCAAAAACATATAAAGCCTCATCAATACTTATTATACCAATCATCATCACCCTCAGTACGCGTACGGACAAACTCCAAAGGTCCATGACTATGTGTCAGGTTGGCTTTAATCATTACCATTTTATCTGACATCGTCATTCGTCCCTTACAACCTTTATGACCGTAAGTAGAACACCTCCAGTGCGTTAGATTTTTCGAGTTTTTCTTATGTTGCATATAATAAGTGTATCCTTTGTGTAAAATAAGCGTTTTTCCTGCACGAGACTGAATGAGTTGGTATGCTAAAAAAACAAGATACTTTGTAACAATAATGACAAATATCAATATGAAAACATTATATATAACATATGAGATCCTAAATGTTTTACGTACATAAAATGTGTTAAGCCTGGAGGAGGATATTTTTTGATTATTATTTGGTCACAATCTACATAATGGAGATCTAATGTTTTAAAGTGAGGAAATATTATTTATAAAACTGCATTATGTTAATTATTGCTTTATTTATCTATATATTTTACATATACTACATATACTTTATATACTTTTTACAAATATTGATAGTTTCACATCTTTGCAAGTAAATAATTTTATCTGCAAATAATATCTAAATAGTTTTCGAGTAAAAAAGTAACCAAGTTTATAATTTTGCCTATAGAGGATTGACACATTTTTAATCGTAAGTTTAAATAAATATTTGTAAAAATCATTCATTTAGATAACAATAAACGTTGACGGAAATATTGACAGTACAGTTTTATTGAAAGATTCCCCAGTCTTATTAGATAGTCGATAGCTTAGTTGAAAAAGCACTGCGATACCGTTGTTGAGCAACTTTCGCAATGGATGGTCATAGGATGGGTGACCAAAAATTCACATTCTCGAACTCCTGCGTACGTCAAGCCGTTGGTCAGTTAATCAGGTGCCAGTTCTTAGCAGGAACAATATTCTAACCCCTTTCATTTCTCGTCTTCATCTCTCATACCTCGTTGCGTATTCATTTTCCGTGACATACAAATTTTGACAGCTTCCTCCGCTGTCAAATTACTGTGCACAAACCTCCTTAGTGTTGTCTTTGGCACGGAGTATATCTGCACGGCCTTCTTCAGGCCCATCTTCTTCGCCCTCAAGTCTTTTATCGCTTGAACCATGTTCTCCTGGTTCCACTGTCGCCTCTGTTTGCCACAGTATAACTGCACCTGTAGATATTCTGAAAACATTGTATTTTTATTAAATTACTGATAAAACATGTGGCGTAAAAGCAATTTCTCGATTAATATCATAATTTTGACCAAAATTGGATACCCATTAAATACGTTAGTGATTTCATATATTACATTGAAAGCTTGGAAATATTAATATAATTGTATACGACTAAAAACATGAACGCTCAAAGAAGGTAGTATTCTTGTGTCTTTTAAAACTAAACTTTAAAAAGTACGAATAAGTTAAAAATCTACCATAGACGAATTTTAATATTTTAATGGAAAGCAAAGTTTTGTTTCTCGTTATCTTCAAAAATCTGATTTACACTTTCGATTTGTGATGCTTCTGACGATCAAACAAATGCTGATAATTAAGCCATATTAAAAGTTCGAGGTCGCAACAATGTGACAAACAAAACAAAGCAAAATTACATTTATTAATAAAACATTACAACACTCGTATTGCCGTAACAATAACTGTCAAAATTATATAAACAAATAAAATAAACTTAAATACGTAAAATTTTGCAGATTATACCGTGATTCTCGAAGAAAGAATATAGAAAATATGATAAAAATATATTACATTAATAAGGAAACATGAGAGTGTTCACTACATTTGTGGATGTTGCGTAAATTACAACGATATTTAGAACAATTAATTAGTTTACATATCCAAATGAAAACTTTATAAGTGTTTGAGCTTTGTATATTTTAAACACATTTTAACCAATATTAACACCTAAAGTAACATTCGACAATTTATATCGAAACTGATGCCAATATTTATTAATAACTTTTGAAGAAAAATGCCGACATTTGTTTGTTTGTACCAAATTTAATTTATAATTATGAATGATCTACAAACAAAATATCTTTATCTTGTATTTTTATTAAAAATGTAATTGAGTAATTATACGATACAAAATTGTTTTTCGTGACAATTAATTCTATTTTTTGAGGTACAACGGATTTTGGAAGTCCACACAATTACAACAAAACTTAACGAATTATTAAACAATCCCCGTTGTATACTAAATGAACTATAATATACTTATTATGTTGTTAAAAGTTTCATGGTCATTAAAATTTGAATATAATAGTTATTTACGCACAGAACAATAAAATATTTACGGACTTGTACTATGTACCTAGTTTTTATCGAATTTAACACTTAAAGGGAATAAATAGCGCTTCTAATCGCAACAATTTCTGTCGAGACCCCGATATTTCGATTTCAATTGCAATCCCGCAAATAACTATTATTTTGATACAATAATTATTTAACAAAACGATATATTTTTAGTCATATTTAATATATTGCCCGTTATGTATTAAATATTTGGCAGGCGGATGGGTATGGCTACTGTCTATCCCTAGGAAAGCGAAATTTTCGTCCAGCTTCAGCTTAGCGTTGCATCCTTTCCAGTTGTGAGTCGAACAATACCAATTAGTGTGTTTAGTTTTTTTATTCTGCTTTTTACAATAATATGTATAATCGTTGAATAATGCTAAATCTTTGCCCGTGTATCGAGACTTCGCTAATAACACCACTGAAATACAAAACAAGGTTTTAGTGCTGTCAATATATACTCATTCAATGATAGTACTGTCTAAGAAGGCCCTGTTTTTTAAAGCAGACGTGAAGAAACAAACTAAAATATGCTTCATTTATAATCTTATATTTCATTTTATTTCAACAGTTGAGTCAACCGCAAAAATGTGATAGAAATGTATTCCAGTTGATTTTCACTATCTTGACTTTCAAATACGGTAGGCCTTCTTAGCCAACATTATCGTATTTGAATTATCTGAGCACGCTTCAACGAGATTTCGCTTCATATGTTGGTAAGAATTGTCGAATATAAATATATGAAAAAATCTCATCGACTTTCATTTATCGAAACTCGGAAACGAATATTTGCATAATAACAATTTTGTGATTGATAAATCAGATGATACAGTAATATTGTTATTAGTAAAAATCATTTATCTCTACTCTCCTACGCTCTGCTGGAGTTATTCTATGGGACTAAAATAATACACAACGTAGTCGGTTATAATGTAGAATACAAATTAATTTAATTCTTAAATAAAACCATTAATATTAAAAATATTGATATCCGACAAATTGTTTGTAAAATAGTTAATTATCTATTTTAGTAAAAGAACATTGACTTTATAACAAGGCGGTAATTGAATTCTAACGGAAAACTACTCGAGCATGCCCGTACTACTATTATTACGCCATTAAATCAGTCAATAATCGAATGTCGACTATAACCGAATAAAAAAGGAAAAAGAAACATCATGAAAATCAATTCATCTTCATCTTAAAATATCTTGAATATAATACAATATATAACATTATTTGAAGGACTGTCACTTGAGTCGCATTTCCAAAAACAGGAACGCTTTAATTTCTAATAAATAAGTATACCTCATTTTAATTTTCTTAGTTTTTCCATTGATTCAATCACTTTACAAGTCATAATTAATAAATATTCTCTAGTATTATATTACAAAGCACATTAATAATAATTCAAATTCGTCGGGTTTTCTAAGACTTTGGACGAAGCGTTACATAAATAAATAGCGTCGCCTAAGAAGGCCCAATGTTTAAATAAATTGCAGCTCTTGATTCACCAGTAGGAACTATAACGGTTATTTGAACACATACAGTGTGCTAAATTAATATATATATATATATATATATATATATATATTTACTAGTGTTCATCTCTCGGAGTAAATTAACCATTATTTAAGGAGTTTTTCTTGGAGAAATCTGGACAACAACTTTGCGACGTAAAAACACCTCGTCCGTTAAATGCAAAGGAGGATGATTTTTAGGTGTTTAAATTATATATTGTTCATTTTTGTTCGGTAAATGAAATAAAAAAAAAATGATATGAAACATCTGTTAAAATATTTGTATTTTTGTGAATCTTTTTGCACTCAAATATTTTATATATAGAAGAATGACAAACCAAAAAAATTCTAGAGTAATTCACCATCATACTGATTGATTAAATAAGCGTGTGTAACTAGGCTCTAAGTTCTCTGCTCTCCTTGAAATAGATTCTGTTTTAAGCTAGAGATTGGTAGGTAAAATAATCAATTATTATAATAAAGGATATATAAGAATATCAGATTGGCGAGATCTCTCAATTTAGATTAAATAAAAATTTAAAATAATTACAGTAAAAGCATTTTTTTAATAAGGAACTTATTTAATATGCCTTCTAAGTGATTTAACCCTTATAATTTCCATGCAACGCTTTAGATTATTAACTTGTAACGTCATAAACTGATTTCTGAAGTTATTTATTCGAGGGTTGAAAAAAAAATCAGTCTTATTAGCATCTTAAGTAGAGTCCATTGTCAATGACATACTGCGGCGGTTGGTGAGTATGTGTCAAAAAGGACCTAACCAAGGAGCGATACATATCGTTAGTGGTAGTCAAACGGCCCTTGCATTTGCCGTTGGTACACTTCCAGGTATTTGTCTTTGAATTCACTTTGTGTAAGTAAAACGTATAACCATTTACTATAGCTAGCTCTTTCCCGCACGTCTTACGAACCCAAGTAACTGAAACAAAAAATTGTAAATGAATTATCTTGGTGTAACTGTTTTGTTAAATTAATTTGTCCGAAAACATTTTTTATAAATAATTAAACTGTGTTTAAAAATAAAATAAATAGAATTACGGAAAGATCGGTACAAAGGATCCCAGCATCGTGTACAACTCTATCGCATAATAGATTCAATAAAATAAAACCTTTATTATCTTTTGATGTAGGTGCTATTTTAATGAACCTCTTTGCTGTGAAATCGTTGCGACAACGCTGATTTCAGCTGTTCTGAACATCATCACCCCTTTTACGTCCCCAGCGCAGGGCTCAGGCCTTGCTTGTGGATGGGTAAGGAGATTGGGTCATAAGACCTCCACGATGACTCAATGCGGATTGCAAGTGCAGTCAGCATTCACGCAAATGCAGTCCATAAGGTGCCTTCCGAAGCACAGAGTAGCTCGAGATAACATTTTTTTTGGTCACCCATCCCGTGACCAATCCTTGCGAAAGTTGCCTAACAACGATCGCGGGTCCCGGCGCTGATCAAAAACGCCACCGTGCTACTCGAGCTGCTCTGAAAGCTCCTTGTGATAAGGTACTTTTCAATAAACACACGTTGAAATCAGTTTTCAGTCAAAACAAATGTCTATAATTCAACAATTTTAGTGCAACAAAATCCCATTACTAATAAAATAAGGCCGTCTATCATGTGAATGTCCTAGATTCGATCTAATAATCACACCATCGTCAGATATTGTGAAACGGGCCTTACAACCCATACGGCTTTTTTTACTGCAACGCCAGAGCTCTGACTGCGTCGTGATATTCCTCTTTTGTCTAAAGAAAGTAAATCCGTCGATCACAGCTAGTTTCGTTCCATCTTCCTTTTCAACCCACTCAACTAAAAGTAATAAAATTCACATGCAATTATAAATACTGTGAACATAAATACAAGCGTAAATAATGTATGTATATTTCAATCGCTGTTCTTTTGTCTTGCTAAGATTCGAGAACAACTGTGCCTATTTACCTAATTTTCGTAATGACGTGAAATCGAAGTATCTCAACATCGAAACTTTTTGAATCGATTCTGTCACGACATTAGTTTCGCCATTTTAATAGTGATGAAATTAGTTGGATATCATTAGTTTTACTAATTACATGTTTAGTTTAAAATATGCGCATGACACGAAACTATAAATGTATCGTGAAATAAATGCATGCACTGAGAGACTATACGTTTACACGTTAAATTGAAAGTTGTCATAGTAATGTAAATTAATAATTTTAAACGTTTCAGACAGGCGTTATAATTTTTAAACCAACACCTTTACAGTCTAAGAATTATATTAAACCACATCAAATATACGCTCTGGGTGACCTATAGTAAATTATGTTTGATCAATTTTATCTATGCTGAAGAATATTCTTAACGTAAAGTGCTTAAAAAAATCACTTTGTCCCTGTACTGAGTATTACTAGTAGAAGTATTGAATAACTAAATAGTTTTCACGATAAAGCAAACAGATGTTGAAGTTTTTGAATTTTATAAATATGAACCAACATATTAACTTGAAAGACAAACAAAAAACGAGGTTAAAAATACTTTATTTTTCCACACATAAAAACATGGTTTTGGCCTTCAAATAAAATTCAGCACAACCTACTCGTAACAGAACATATTTACAAACCGCTAATATACATATAGTAGCAATTAAGAACCAATGCTATAAATAATTTTTGAAACATAAAGAGACGTAATTAAAAAAAATCCTTTCTTTGAAATAATTATACCTTAATGAAAATACCATCTTTGATTATATACTTTGTTCTTTCGTGTGTATGTTCCAGTTGCGTTTGTAAAATCTTGCCATTATCATGAGATAAATAGAATCGAGCTTTACACCTTTTATATGATTGGAGTCTGCAACGCCACACTTCTGTCTCCATATTTTTTCTGTGCAAGACGTAACTGTAGCCGTCTATGAGAGCGAGTTTCCTGCCAGCATCCGTCTCGACCCAACTGACTTAAAAAAATAAAAATAAAAAGGTCTGTTAGACTTTTCCATGATAGTTGAACAATAAAAAGTTATTATAAACTTTTTGAATTTAATAGCGTTACTAAATGAAGTACAATTTTTATCACGATACTATCTGATTTGCTGGAATTTTGTTCGGGTAACTTAGGCTATGTCACCCGCTGCATGAAGCTCCCCTTAGGTGAAAGAATTTTTAGAATCGCTACAGTAATTTGTCGACAATAAAGAGTTATTCTATTCTATTCTAATCATTAGAATCAACACAAATTATTTAACTACTTAGTGTGGAATCGAAGCAGTATGTGATATGTTGTTTTAAACTTTCATGGTCATTAACATTACTAATTCCTTGATCATGACGATTGTAACAGCGCCGCAATATGGGAGACTTTATAAATATAAGATAATTAACTACCATCCTAAAGAATGTGATGTTCATCACCAGCCCTTTTACGTCCCCACTGCAGGGGCTCAGGCCTTCCTTAGATGGTTAAGGTGGATGGGCCATGACCCGCCACGCTGGCCTAATGCGGATTGGAGGGTATTGACGACTGCAAATGCAGCCGCGACCAACGGCTTAACGTGCCTTCCGAAGCACGGAGTAGCTCGAGATAATAATTTTTTGGTCACCCATCCCGTGACCGATTCTTGCGAAAGTTGCTTAACGACTACGATCGCGGCGCTTATTCACTATGCCACCGAGCTACTTGTCTTATATATATAAATTGTGATGTTGTCTTATATATAAATAAAAAAGCTATAACACTATGAATATTTTTTTTCAGTGGAAACCGTCGAGAACATTGTATTTGCGGACAAATAAAAAAACCATATCTTTAAAATATATCCTTTATACACGCATATATTTCATAGTAATCTTCAATAAATATTAACACGAATACCATTATTAACAATATATCTTATTCTTTCATGTGTATGTTCCAATTGTGATCTTATAACATTACCGTCTTCGAGAGATATAGAAAAGCGAGCTTTACAACGAAAGTGGGAATGACTACTGCAACGCCACACTTCACTCTTAGCACTTCTGTTACGTAAGAAGAAAGTGAATCCGTCGATCAGAGCTAGCTTCTTTCCGTCGTCTTTTTCAATCCAGGAAACTGGAAACAATTACAAAGTTTTAAAAAATCTTAGAAAATTTGCCAGTCAAGTCCCAGATTGGCATAAATTTATAACATACATAGTATATTAATATAATAATTCAACACTTTAAGGACTGTTCCGGTGATTATCCTGCTTTATTTATAAAATAAAAATTAATACACACGTAGCATTCCGTATTGAATTTAATAAATATTAATAATTCTAATTATTTGATTGTTACAAGTATCAATTTAAAAACTTCTTACAATAATAGCAATTACTATTAAAATTAATCTATTGGTCAGACCATAACTAAGCTCCCAATTGCGCGGGGCCCCAAAAGCGCGGGGTCACCAAACGCGCTGGGCCCGTAGCATTTGCTACTTTTGCTATGGCTAATCCGGCACTGTATGAGGATAAATAATATTAATGTTATTTGTTATTCTATGGTATGAAACTACATAGTATAAAACGAAGTAGCTTTCCATCTGTCTGTCCCTATGTACGCCTAGATCTTTAATACGAAACGGATTTTTATGCAGTTTTTTTTAATAGACAAGGAGATTCAAAATCGATGTTCTCATGTATAATATAAGATCACAGTAGGAAAATTGAAGGAACATATAAAATCACTATTCTACGTATTAATTAATTATTTTGATTTTTTTATATGCGAAACATTTTACGTGAAATGAAATTCTATCAAATTATTGTTTTTAAAATCACCGATTGTTCAATAATTTGTCGCCCTAAAATGTGTTTATAAATTATAATTCAAACCTCCAATAATAATGCAAAGCACATATTTTTATTTATTATTTATCTTAATTAAAAAACCCCTATTAATAACATACTGTGGTCTTTCATGTGAATGCTCCAGTTTTGCTCGGCATATTTTACCGTTATCATATATGAAGAAACGAGCCTTACACTTTTTTTGTGGACGGTATCTGCATCGCCACACTTCGGTGTTGCAAGTTCTATTATGCAAAACGAAAGAATAACCGTCAATCAGAATAACATCTTTGCCAGTATTCGTTTTAGCCCAAGTAACTAAAACAGAAAAAGTAACTAAAACAAAAGCGATAATATTATAAAAAACTCATGGACTCATACAATGTTAGGATCTGAAACTATTTCTCCCCGGGCTGGGTGTTAATAATCCGGGGACTGTAGTCGAATGGTTTATTAACAAGTGTCGTTGTTGTCCACATACGATTTCTGTGGCTAATTTTCATTGATAGGTCATTTGTTTATCAACCATTTTAAATTGGGCACAAGTTTGAGTTTTATTATAATATTTATTATGAAAATGAAATAAATCAATGAGGTGTGTCTTCAATTATTATATATAATTTATATAACAAGCTTCCAGTATAAATAAATTACATTTTAATTAAGATACCATTTTTAATAACATATTGTGGTCTTTTGTGCGAATGCTCTAGTTGTGGTCGAAGAAATGTACCATTTTTGAGACATCTAAAGAAACGAGCTTTACACTTTTTTTGCGGTTGGTATCTGCAACGCCACAATTCGGTCTTGGAAGATTTGTGATGCAAAATAAAAGAATAACCGTCAATCAGAACGACATCTTTGCAGGAATCCGTTTTAGCCCAAATAACTAAAACAAAAGCAGTCATATTTTTAAAAACTCGTGATATCACGTAATGGACCTGCAATTGTTATCCATGGAGCTGTATGTTAATTGATATTAAAGGCTCATTTACACGAGTCAATAGTGTCCGCAAGAGCGGTTAAGACGACTTCTTTTTTCATTAGTTGGTCTTTGGTTTATCGATCAATTTTAATCAGCACTACGGTTGAGTGATTCTTTTATTACATTTTTAGCAAGTAAGTATGTATAAAAACTTATTATGAGTGTGGCTTTGAAATAAATTAATCAAGTCTGTATTACATAATTATTTATTTATAATACAAGCTTCAAAAATAACATACTACAATTTAATCAAGACACCATTAGAAACAATATATTTTGTTCTTTCGTGCGAATGCTCTAGTTGTGGTCGAAGAAGTGTGCCGTTTTTGAGACATATAAAGAAGCGAGCCTTACACTTTTTTTGCGATTGGTATCTGCAACGCCACATTTCGGTTTTGCAAGTTGTGCTATACGAGACGAAAGAATAACCGTCAATCAGGGCGACATCTTTGCCGGTATCCGTTTTGGCCCAAGTAACTAATAACATAAACAGAAATAATTAAATGATTGCAGGACCGGGGGTCTAATTATGTAAATCTATCTATTTTCAATTTGAGGTTTGGAATATATTGAATGAAAAATCGTTAATTTCACGTTAATTAGAATTGTCCAAGGCAAGCGTTAGATGCAAGTATGTATTATTTTAAGTTTAGTTTACTAAATTTTTAATATGTTCCTTGATCATTCGAGTTAAGAAAGCGATTGCATCTTTACATAATTCAAGCGCAAGACCTTTTATAGGGATTGGGATAGATTTTAATATTGGGAAACAAGGCCACAGTTGTGTGAACGCCTAACTCTCTGGCCATGGGATATATATTTTAGTGATGGTATATTATATATTTCATTGACTTTGACATATCTTTTGGTGGTTTACGGATTAAACAACTTAAATTAGTCATACTGCCATCAAATCCATAATCAATATAATAATAATAAAGACTAATATAACTAATACTATATACTATTGAAAAATATTCTTAATCAAGGATACTTAAAAATCTACTTAATTTATTAAGAATTTTTCATCGAGAATAAAGAACATGTCAAAGTAGGAAAATGAAACGGAATATCGCCATAATATCGCTAAAATGTCGTAACTTGTGACTAGAGAGTTAGGTGGTGGGTATTCAGCTCTCCTATACTGTAACAAAATCTGCCTGAAATCTACGTCTAGCGTCGTCACAGCATAGATGATTGATGAAATAAAACATTTATTTTTAAGCAGGTTTGATTTATTGAACATCTACGCTGTGCCACCGCTGTACAGACGTCGAGTTCGTTGCAAATTTTTTACAAAATAGCAGATGCTATAATAGCTTTACTCATGATTATTTTGAGTTAGATGAAACAGAATACATGTTTTCTATTATAATGCATGTCAATTTCTTTGAAATTAAACGAAAGTGTTTTTCGATAAAAGATTTTATTTGCAATCAATTACCTTCGCATTAATTAATAGTTCAATATATATAAATAGGTTGTCATTTCATTTGCATTTTTGGTCTCACGCATTACTCTTATTATAAATAATATAAAGGAACCGAAATTAATGAGGCGACTCGCTTATATTTTATGGACACGTCAGTTTAAAATCAGGGAGAGAAAATTGGCATTTATTTATAACCAGTTCATGCGGACTCGCAAGCGACAAAGAGGTGTGGGACTCTCCGCCGTCACGGGAGGCTTCCCCACCAAAACCCCCTGGTGTAACCTCTGCTGAGGAATGAGACTTGGAAAGTAGTGATCGAGGATACTCACCCACCAATTCTGATACCCTGACATGTTGACTGTAAAATCCTATTTAAAAGTTAACAAATCCGTTAGTCTTAGTATATACTGTTAATATTGTTTTGGTGATGGCATGATATTTATAAATATCATTACATCTGTTACAACTGGTGAGTTTTACTTGTTATTTTTATCAGCCAAAAGACGTCTTGAACAAGTGGTAGGGATTTTTTTTTTAAATTATATTTCAATAAATATTATTTTGACTTTTATCATTATTGGGTTTCTTGATCAGGTGGGAGACATACTTTATGATGAATTAAATCGGAATGCTATAAACATACACGCAAATATGCACCTAAACAAACAAGCGAGTAGCTTCATACTCATGTCCCTTCGTTTCTTTCACAGTAATTAAATATCAGACTTAACCTTAACTATGCCTAACATTATAATATTAAAGACTAGTATTTTAAGACTAGTTCGACTAGTTGACAAGAATTAAAAGAAAAAATAAATATATATTCTCATCATTTAAAAATAAACATAACAGATAACATAAATAAACATAAGACACAATAAGTTAATCACCATAGAACAAGTTGTAGTTTCTCTATATTCAAATCAATCATATCAGTCCTCTACATTCCAGCTAAATGCCAAACTCATTAGTCAGATTATTGAACGCAATGCTTCCACAATTCCCCTGGCCTTTACAAGCCAATTTTTGAAATTTTTAACACACAATAAAATCAACAATTCCGCTGCGTCATTTACACTCTCAATGAAAAATACGTAAAAATCCTTTTATACTCTGAAATGGGACCCTTTGGCCTTGAGATGGGACGACAAGAGGATCTTTAAGCACTTTTCATTAAGAATATTTTTCAGTCAGCGAATGCAAAATTGAACAAATGATGGTTTCATCACCAGCCCTTTTACGTCCCCACTGCAGGGGCTCAGGCCTTCCTTATGGATGGTTAAGGAGGATGGGCCTTGCCCCTCCACGCTGGCCCAATGCGGATTGGAGGGTATTAACGACTGCAAATGCAGCCGGGACCAACGGCTTAACGTGCCTTCCGAAGCACGGAGTAGCTCGAGATAATAATTTTTGGTCACCCATCCCGTGACCGACCCTTGCGAAAGTTGCTTAACGATTACGATCGCGGGCCGCGGCGCTTATCCACTACGCCACCGAGCTACTCGAATGATGGTTTACACTCTTATAAAGATACCGTTATTAATAACATAGCTCCGTCTTTCGTGGGTATGTTCTAATTTTATTCTTTTGATCCTGCAGTGATCGTTGGTGATGGTAAAGCGAGCCTTGCAACGATTATATCCTTGATTACTGCACCGCCACACCTCTGTGCTGGTGCTTCTTCTGTGCCTGAAGAACGTGAAGCCATCGATAACGGCAATCTTCCTTCCATCGTTCCTTTTAACCCATTCAACTAAAAGTATCAATAAAATTATTAATAAATCTCAACCTTTTATTGAATTTTTTCATTTGTAATAATGTTTGATCAGTAAGAGTTAGGGTTGCCAACATTTCTTCAGCGAAATATAGTATATTTCTCAATAAGCTGTAAAAAAGGTATACTCGAATAATATGTAGTACGTACCAGTTTTCCGTCCGAATACAAATCTAGAATGAAATAGCTTACTTGCTATTATAGATTATAATCTATCTCTTCCCCATATTTCATCCAAGTCCTTCCAGCCATTTTGGCCTGATTAATTAACTAAAATAATAAAAAAATATAAATATCATCAAAATTTCAAGTTTCATGAAAAACCAAAACAATATATAAATACATGTTTGTTTGAAACTAATATTTATATATATTTTGTCTACCGACAAAAAAATATCAAGTTATATAAAACTTCACATATTTTTATTAAACAATGCAAATTAAAAGCTAATTATTTAATAACTGTTTTGGCTTTCTTTCGTCATTTCGATTTCTAAACAGAAATTATTTTTGCCGTGAATGCAGAACTGGTGCGAAGAGAAAAGAAACGAAATTGTTTTACATTATGGTAATATATCTTAAGTATTTTTTCATAGTAGTTACTGCGCTTTTAGTCTGTAGATTTGTCTGAAAACTCAACACAATCTTTCACTTTTGCACATACTTCATTTGTTTGTTTTATCATCATCATTTGAGAGTAAAGATAGTTCGTTTCCACACAAAATCTTTTGTGTAAAGGAATTTCTAATAATACAAATACATTCAGTTATAAAAGTTGAAGTATAGTATAAGTCAAAAACGAATATGTGTAAGAATTATTCTGTTACTTTTCGATTTCGAATAAAGTATTTTTGGGTACTATATATTTTTTCAACAGTATATAGTACGCGGGCCCGAAATATACCACAATACTATATGTACGGTTGGCAACCCTAGTCCAGAGTAAACGTTACTGCAACCTGCAAGGGACAAAATAAAACAATATTTTTTTTAAATCACGAGCATGTACTATTATTTAATTCTCTATGCTCTGCCAGTCAAATCAGTCTGGAGATTAAATTTAAAACTGGAGATTTAATATTTTATACCATTAATATAATTAATTAATAATATATGACTCCGTTAATAATATATTTTGACCAAACACACACTAATACACAATTAGGAAGAAATAAATATAACATAAATAAAAATAAAAAATAACTCCACTCCCGGTTTGGGTTCGAATCCACCTCGGGTACTTGGAAATAGTGAATTTTTTAAGTCTTTTTAAGATAAATATCATTGTAAATACAAAAATTGATTAAATATAATGAAATCTTACTTATTCTTATATTCCTAAGCACATAACACCTTTAATAAAAACTTTCGATGGTTTTAAATGTAGACCACGGAGCCCACAAAGTATATGAATAGCCAACAAAATATTAAAGTTTACATGGATGAAAAACATAAAAAGAAATGATTTGATTACTATTTTAAAAGCTCTTTCAATCGACAAATAATTACGTTCTATACATTTGAAAGAAAGTGCCGTTCTCAACAACGAACCGTGATCTTTCGTGGGAATGTACCAGTTGTGGTCTTAATATCTTGTTGTCATAGTACTGCATGGAGAAGCGAGCCTTGCACTTTTTGTGTTTCTGCTGTCTACAACGCCACACTTCGTATGTTGCCGTTCTACTGGTCATGACGAAAGGGTAACCGTTGATTAAGGCGAGCTTCTTTCCAGTATTTGAATGAACCCAATTAACTGAAAACAACAGACATGTTAATAATAACCTGCCAGGTGCAAGTCGGACTCGTGCACGAAGGTTTCCCGTACTATACTATCCATAAAAAAGGCAAATACGTTTGTTGTCATCCCATCTTAAATATTTATTGTATTCTTTTTTGAATTTCTTGTTATAGCGGCAAAAATACGTCATTTGTGAAATTTTTAACTATCCAGAAGATACAGCCTGAGATACAGAAACACTGACCGACGGAGGGTCTTGTCATACCCTTTGGGTACGTCACACTAAAAACTTACTTCTCTGTATTAAAACTTCACAGACATAGAATTTAGTAATTTGAACATTAATTTAAGGTTAGTTAATGTTGGAAATAAACCATAATAAAGGTGTCAAATCTTGTTTTACTTATAAAGTTGTTTTAGGGTCAATAAGACTACGCGCAGACTGGTATCTTTTTGTATGTGCCGTGACATTTTTTTCTCCTGTCACCGTGCCTAAGAGTCCTTGCGGTAATAATAAGCCACGATAAGAAAAAGTTACCAGAGCACATAATAATGATGTGCTTAAGTAACAAACGAAAAACTTCAATAATGTTAAAGCCGAAGTTGAAAAGATTAATTAAAATTGCTTTAGGCATATATATCTGACAATTCGTTTTACAGCCAAGATGATTAAAATGGTGCACTCAAATACGATAACTCAGAGTTTTAATTATTAGATTCTAAAATAAATCCCATTATTAATAATATATTTTGGTCTGTCGTGTATGTGTGCCAGCCGTGCTCGAATAATGTTGCGATAGTCGAGTGATATAGAGAAGCGTGCGCTGCAACAACGCCGTGTGCACCGCCACGTCTCATTTTTGGCACTTCTAAACTCCGTATAGAAAGTAAATCCATCGATTATAGCGAGCTTCTTTCCATTTTCCTTTTTGGCCCAAGTAACTAAAAGCAATAATTATATGACATTGAAAATTGATATCCAAAACCTTTTTGAGAGTACCATAAACAATTTGTACACAACTGTATGTAGGTTTGTCATTCAGTAAAACTATAGATTTTTTATTTATCAAAACAAGTAGGAACAGTGATGTGGGGGATAGAATAAGGGTTACAGTGAAACAGCGACAGTGATATACCATTTTTTTTTTTTTAATAAATCACTTTTAAAGTTTAAATTTTAAATCAGCAATGTCATTCTGCTATAAAAACTGCCTCCAACCCAACGTTGAAAGCAGCGCCTTCATAACAAAGAGATTCATCAAACAAAACCCACTTCAAAAGGTAATAAATGTTTTATTTGAGCTGTGATAACGTAGAGCACGTTACCACAGCTCGACGTCAAGTTCGATACAATTTTTAGCAAAACAGCTTAGTTAGAACCTAGCCTTAGTCAAATTCTATTCGATCGAGTTTGTAATAATGATAAAAAAGTCATGTTCTTTAAAAGCGCTTCATTTATAATCTTATGTAGACACCATTTTTTATAACAAAAGGTGGACTTTTATGCGAATGCTCTAGTTGTGATCGTATAATTTTGCAATCATAAGGACTCTTAAAGAAGCGAGCCTTACACTTTTTGTGTTGTTGTTGTCTACAACGCCACACTTCATGTTTAGCTGATCTACTGGTCATGATGAAATGATAATTATCAATCAAGGCGACCTGCCTGCCAGTCCTCGATGTGAGCCAAGAAACTAAAAATAGAAAACATCTATTAACAAAGGCTTAATTTATCTTTTGGAGCAAAAATGTTTTGGGATTTCTTATTAAAAAAAATTCTTTCTAAATGTATCACAAACGTCATCATTAAATTGGCTTTTAATTTTATGTATAATAAGATACAACCTCAACACCACTTAATATTTACATTTACCATGTACCATTTGTTATTTCAGGGTCTACTCATGTTTATAAGTCGATAATGTTCAGTGTAGGCAAAATGAAAAATCTAAATCGATATCATTCATTCAGTCTAAGCTGTTACAAGCACATTTGAAAGTCGAAAATTATGCCATTAGTTCGCAAATCTGCGACGGGAGATCTTGTACTGGGAAGAACTGGCAGGCTTTTTTCTCCTTGTTTTATTTTTTTATTTAGACTATGAAGTCACTTTTTACTACAATATCAGAAATAACAATAGATATGTTTTTCGATTACTGATTAATATGCCGGTTGCTGAGTCATACATACTTATTGACAAATCAATATACATAAAATGAACGAAATTGAGTAGTCCAGAGTAGACTCATCCCCACTGTCAGCGCCCATTCACGAGCATGACGCACGAGCCAAAATCATAGATGCAAGAATCAAATATCTATATCAAAATATATTTGTAAGCTTCTCTATTATTTGTAGTCTGTATAATACTTTATTACAACATAATTATACTTACAAACCGTGGTCTTTCATGTGTATGTTCTAGTTGTATTCGTTTATACAACCACCTTGTTATTATCTAGACGAATGAAGAAGGTAGTCTTACATTTCTTATGTGAAAATTATCCTACCGCTTACAGAAGTCCTGAAGTGCCCTGTCAAAATGAAGCACTGAGTAATCTGTCAGGCTGACTTATCCACCGCCAAAAGTTGACAGATAAGCTTGACAGATTAATCAGGGCGATAGTTACGTGGTAGAGGGTTTCATTGGTGGTAGAACCATCCGTCTCCAGTATCAATATTGTAATTTGAAAATGTGCGACAAATATTGTTCCATGTTATCTGTTCTATTAATATATATTGAATCCTTGCGTGAATTCTGTTTTTAACAGTTTAACAACTCTTACATTATAACAAAACAACTCTTTTGTATTTAAAAAACCATTTATTCAAACTTAACACTTCTGTACAAAATTTTCTTATAAATTGACGGGCAAAAGCTACGTGTCACTTTCAAAGAATCGAACACATCCCAAATACACTGCAAGTAAAAAAAAAATATAACGCATTTAATGAAACTATTTTTAATATTCGACCTTTTTTACTATTCTTGAAAAAAAAACACTACGAACTTTGGAGGTATTCGAACTTTTTCTACATAACTTACATAACATACAAAACTTTTTGCTCGTCAATTTAATTTAAAGAAAATACCCTTATCGATAAAATAATGTGGGCTTTCATGCGAATGTACTAGTTGAGATCGGAACATCTGACCATTGTCAAGTTGTATAAAGAATCGAGCCTTACACCGTTTATGTTTCTGTTGTCTACAACGCCACACTTCGGTTCTAGCTGTCCTATTAGTCATAACAAAAGGATAATTATTAACCACGGCGAGCGCCTTGCCAGTATTCGTTTTAACCCAATATACTAAAAATGAAAGACATCTATTAATAATAGCTTGGTATATCTTCTAAGATCAACATTTTTCTAAAATAAAATATATTATTGGTAATATAGAAAAAAGAGCGTGTGTATGTACATACACATGGTAAGTACATGGTGTATGTACACATGGTAGAAATCGCGTCAATAACTTACTATACGAATATTAATACTATACTAATATCAAAGACCATGACAGTTTTCTTTGTATTGTGTCCTTTATAATGTGCAATAAAGAATTTTTTTTTAGATACTATAATAAATAAATAGTGTGCCGCAATGATATATTGTTAACATTCACACCCCCATTTTTCATTATTCATGTTATCTCTCTCCATCCACTGGTTGCCTGGAAGAAATCGCTTTCAGCGATAAGGCCGCCAATTGTTACATAATAGTGTTAATTTACTATAAATTTTTGTAATTCATTGTGTAATGTGAACAATAAAGAGTTTTGTATTGTATTGTATTGTAAAGAATATAATATTATTATGAAGAGAGTAATCCTTTCTTACCGGTCTCTCGAAGAATCGAGGAAGGGGAAGACACCCCTTGGCAGAGAGACCTGACAGCCAGGGGTCAGAAATCGGCGGACTAATTGGACATTGTCGAGCAACACGGCCTTTGGAGCCTCGCCATTATTGTTCTTTCGCGGCGTCTATTATCATTATTATGATACCTCTTTTCTGTTCGTTATGAATTTTGAATCTATAGCCTTTCATTGCCTAAATTCTATTCAATATTAATTATAATCATAAAAAAAATTTTTTTGTAACCAAGAGCACTTTATTTTAGAAAACTTATGACTTTTATACAAGATACTTATGTTTTAAAGAAAGTACTTATGTAAATAACAAATTGGGGTCTTTCATGTGAATGTTCTAGCTGTGTAGTAGTAGATTTACACTTTTTGTATGTTTGTTGCCTACGCCGCCACACCTCAGCTGTAGAAATTCCATGGTATAAATTATCAACCACGGTAAGCTTTTTACCACTGCTAGTATGGACCCAAGTGAATTTTCTTTCATAATAAATTATTAAATTTCATTTTTTTTTTGTTTCACAACTATCAGTGGCATAAGAACACCAAACAGACTTTCCCATTTATAATATCAGTATTCGAAATTATATATAATTATGATGTAGGTATTTTTTTATTATGAATAGTCGTTGACACATAGGTGTTAACAAATGTTTATATTTAAATATTAGTTCATATGATAAGTAAGGCGGGAAGAGGGTGACAGTTTCGAATAGAGACAGATTTGAGTTATTACATTTATGCACGCATATTTCATACATGCTCACAAAGTTTGCATTTATAATATTGATAGGATATGTATACCGGAGATTGAAAAAGGATTTAAATTCTCATCTTCATATGTGTGACATAGAGATTGTGCACACCCGACGCGGTCGAGTTTCTAAAACAGACTGAGCGTCAACAACTGTGATTTATAGACTTCAACAACGACGATATTAAGGCATTTTGCCTATTCTGCCACATTATGCTGCGACCAGACTCATTGTTGTCAACTTTTACAGATCAAATAATATTTACTTTTTCAATCTACTGTCTCGGCGAAAACATATGTTTATGTGTGAAACTACCCACAAATGATGTAACAAAACCAATAATTCCGACATGTAGTTAAACGAATAAAATGGTTTGGTTGTGAAATAAGATTTATTTATAAAACGTGCAATTCAAAACTGCCCGTCTTCTAAACTACAGGGAAGAGGCCCATAATATATGCAAATATGTTGTTTATTAAATAATTAATATTATAATTACACCAATTTAAATAGGATGCCGTTTCTAATAATATAATTTCGTCTTTCGTGTGTATGTTCCAACTGTGATCGTGTTATCTGACCATCGTCGAGAGACAGGAAAAAACGAGCCTTGCATGACTTATGAGCTTGGTTACTGCAACGCCACCCCTCACTCTTCGAGGATCTAAAGTGCTTGTAGAAAGTGTAGCCGTTAATGAGAGCGAGCTGCTTTCCATCGTCCCTTTGAATCCACTCAACTAAAAGTTTATATATAGTTATAAACATCCAAACATATATCAAAGTGATATTCAAAACTTGAAAAAACATGATATGTTCGACGAGAAATATAAGGTGTAATATTATTATATGCCAGGACTTCGAATTATAAATGACTTTTATTATGTAAGCAACACTGAATTTACGAAATATAACCAGCTGTTTCATATAAAATTGCTACAAAACCAAGAGGATATAGCCGCGGGAATAATAAAAATAAAAATTAACAATGAAACTGATTAGTTTTTACCATATTGTATTATTACAGAGCGGATTATTTCTAGTTTATCTGAAGTATACTGATTAGATTTAACATATGTGTATTATGACAGAGCGGATTATTTCTAGTTTATAGAATAAATATTACTATATCTAAAAGAATAGTCCATTAAAAATGTTGTAAAACCATTCTGGTTTAGGAATAAGATATTATTTATTGATACGGAATAAGATTCGAGATAAAATGTATATCTAACACCATTAATTTTTATATTTAGGCAGATAGTACAATGGTTAAAGCATATGATTGAGATTTATACGTTAATATGCGATTATTACGTTAATATTATTAGAATTGGCTCTACGATTCTGTAAAAATTCAAACCCGAATTCGAATCTACTCAGGTGAGAAATGAGTTTCGAAATGACATTAGAATAGAATATCTGAGACACGTATGAATCAATCAATCTTGTTTTGTACTTTTATACAATAAAATGTAGTCAATAGAATTTTTACACTAAATTATGTAAATATAAGTGGACACGGACACATGAGTGAATTCGAATTCGGGGCTGGATTTTTAACAGAATCGCTCTGCAGGACAGATGTGGGAGTAACACTATTTATTTAACTCTATTTCGGTTCATAAACAACATGGAATTTAGTTCTACAAGCTTAAGTTTCTAAACAAAAAATTATAGTCTAATAAAGATACCATTATTGATAAAATATTTTGTCCTTTCGTGCGAATGCTTTAATTCTGCTCGAAATATATTGCCATTCCTAAGAGACTTGTAGAAACGGGCCTTACATCTTTTATGTGATTGCAGTCTGCAACGCCAAACTTCTTTTTTGGTACTTCTGCTGTGCATAACGAACGAGTAACCGTCGATCAAAGCAAGCGGCTTACCATTATCCATTTTGTACCAACTAACTGCAAAAAAAGTATAATGTTATTTTAATAAAGCATTCATGATGCTGTATCGATATTTTCTTATACAAAACTACTTCATTGTCAAGATGGTAAAATAAATGGTCAATTTTTTTTATACGATAAAAAAAAAACTTTTTAAATACTTATAATATTTATTGCACAATTAAGTGAAATTGCAAACTTCTGTCTTATTTGTGGCTTTTGTTATACCCAACGAACTGGTTAATACGTATCTTCTAATCGGAAATATTTTTACTAGATTTACAAAAATGGTCACGACATCCTTTTGATAAATTATACATAATACCAAAACCTTTGTCATTAAACTGGTTGTTTTTAAGACTATAACCGTCAGACAGACAGATTGTTTTTATAAGTTTTTTATATTTAAAGATATATCTATTTAATGGCATAAATAATGAAATAAAACTGCGATTGCATAAAATTCTGTATTACCAAAGTAACCTGTGGTTTATTACTATGGTTATTCACTATTTAAGTGACATTGATAATTTATATTATATTTAATATTAATTAGATATAGATAGATAAATTACTTTTGAATTATAATCTTATATTAACATTGCATATGTATGTTCTAATTACTATCCAAAAAATAAAGCAAGTCTTACACATGACGATTTAAGATGACAAGCAAACGATACGATTTATCGTGTTAAGTGTAAGAATTAAGTGTAATATAAATCGTACGAGGCTTATTGCGCGATACTCTAATTTTCCGAAGTATCTATTCGTCTAGTGTTGCTCAGTCGCGAAAACATAGTGACCGATTCGGATTCAATCAAAATATCTTTAGCTTCACCTTTTTTCACTAAAAAGGTATATAAGGAAAAGGAACTAGATCAAATTTAATAAAAAAGGCACAGAGAAAAGAGGAAGGCCTGCGCTATAAGACAAACTAGAGACAACCGTCAGTTAAAATGTTTTTAAATAAAAACTATACATTAATTGACTTTAATAAAATATATTTAAATTTCGACAAGTTTTTCAATAGTTCACAATTATAAATTTGGCATGTGAATTTATTTTTTTTATGATTATTAAACAAAAAAGAACTTTGTTGTTTATCCTGACGAAAGGGTCACAAAGAAATCGCAACGTTTGCTTGTGGGCGGAAGCAATTAGAACAACATCTAAATTTCTACATATATATACACCAGAATCAGTACTTGTACTATGCATAAAAAAGCGAAGTTGTGAATAAACAGTAATCTTGCCTTTGGTACCACTCAACAAAAATAATATTCAATCGAGTAATTCGGTCTATTAATAATATTATTCAAACAAATTTTTTTTTAGGTCTTTTATTATGTGAAGATACTGCTGGTGTGAGGCGGTCGGTAAAAGACATTTTGTTTTTTTTTATTCCATCTTACAGAGTTTGCACAATGGTACGTCTGTTGCGAATTATTGATCTATGATTATTATATCTGTCAAGAATAAGATCGTTCCATATCAAATTACTAAATTTCTACTCGACCATGTGAGTGGTAATCATCAATTCTAACGCTCTATCTTCATAATAACTTATAATGAGGAAGTATTCAAAAAAAAACGAAAGCACTAAAAAAGCACCTCCACTAGATGGCGTCTCTAGCAAAAGTTGATGTTTGCAGGAAATTAATGGACCAAAGCCAGTTAATTCCGTTCCTTTTAACTAAAATATTAAAAAACTGAAATTTGAAAAGTGCGAAACTTAGATATCAATACAAATATGAAAAAGGACAAATAGAATACTAGTTGTTTATTGAGTTTTGAAAACTAATTAACTTTTAAACATGAAAGAACACCGGAAGGGTTGTCATGGAGAAATCAAGAACGTACCGTAGCGACATCTAGTTTGATTTCAGGAACAATTTTTTTTTTTAAATACTTACTCATTAGTAATAATATCATTACACTCTAATAAAAACACCATTATTTAGAACATATTTTGTTCTTTCATGCGTATGCTTTAGTTGGGATTTCAAAATCCTGCCCGTTTCAAGAGACATGTAGAAACGAGCTTTACACCTCTTGTGTGATTGAAGTCGGCACCGCCAGGCTTCGGTATTCTTTGTGGTACTCCTGCCGTACATGAGGAATGGATAGCCATCAATTAGGGCGAGTTTCCTTCCATCATCTGATACACACCAATTGACTAAAAATAAAAATATCGATTAATCAACGCTCGGTTGGTTTAAATAATATAGTAGAAAACAAGAATCTGAAGCCAGACATTTGCATTTGTAAATGTTCTCGCTAGCAAACTAATATTGGAGATATTTAAGAATTTCGTAAAACCTGAAGTATGTTTGTACTTTTAAAATTACATTCGAAATTTCGTGGACTGTTTTCGTGACTGTCCTATGTTCACGATAGAAAATTGATTTTAAAAGTAGTTAGTTCAGAATAGACTCCAATCGATTTGGTTGCATAGTATATTATATAAAGTACTTCTACATATCGTACGGATAGGGTAGACAAACGAGGTGTAAGAGTTTGAAATACACGTTCAAAATGCATTTATATTGTTATAATAAAAATCTTATAATATTTATAAACATTAGAAATTAATAAAATGCTCGGTTCAACAACTGCTTAACGCTTCCAGGATTCCGCATCGTGATAACGCATACCCACTATTTTTCTCGCCCTAACAAATGGTGGTTCCGAGTGACGGAAAAGGATAGGGCGATGCGGAAAAAAGAGCTCGATGGCAGTGGCTAGCGCGCTCAGTCTGCGGTACGGTTGTAAAGCAACATTCGCAATGGCCAATCATAGGATGGGTGACCAAAAATTTATTATTGAGAACTTCTCCGTCCTTCGGAAGGCACGTTAAGCCGTTGGTCCTGGCTGCATCTGTAGTCCTTAATAGCCACCGATCCGCACTGGGCCCGCGTAGTCTCGAATCGAATCGAATGACCCCGATTGGATTTCATCTAAAGGGGAAGGCTGAGCCCCAGCAGTAGAACCATAAATAGGTCGGTGATGATGATGATGATGCGGGAAAAAGCGACAACGTGCTAGCAAATAAAATCTAACTTTTAATCACAAAATAACAAATTCTTTACGGAGTATTCTTCTTGGAACCTCACTGACATTAGAAGAGTCCTTATCGGTTTTTTTTAAATAATCTTTCTTTTTTTCGTTCGTAGTATCTTTTAGAATTGATTCGATTTTGTTTTTGACGTTTCTTGCGCTCTGTGGGTGTGAGTTCTGCCATGGGAACAATCTTTCCTTCTTCCTTTAACCGATAATACTTTTGTCTGTCTTTTTCTTTAAATGCCGTATACAGGACCGGGTCGCACTTTATTCTTTTTCTTGTTTCTCGCGCTGCTAGCCTCTTTTTTTCTAAACGTTCCTCTCTACTTTGTTTCTTTGTTTTACGGCGTCGAACTAAAACAGGAATTTATTTAATTACTTCGGTGTCCATATTCTAGTGATATTTTTGATACTTGTTCACTCATCGATTCAGTTGTTCTCATCTCCATACCTAATTTTAAACTATACAGTTAAGTGGTAATCATCATGGGTAGATAAACAAAAAAAAAATGAAAAAGAATGAGTATTTTGTAATAATAATTTCAATAATACAAAGGTTCCCATATAACAATATTTTAGTGTATGTGCCTTTGGTGTGTGTGTCTGTCATACGATTACTTTTTGTTGCTTGTCTGCAAGTCTAGCAGAACAATAGATAGTTTTTTCTTAAACGTCAAACGTTATTCATGGAGTAGTAAGCAAGGAGTTAAGAATTAGTAAGTGTAGTAGAATTTTAACATTTTTGAATTTATAATCAAAAGTACTGTTAAATACATCATATCTGCATATTTAAATGTAAGAAAGAAGAGAATAATTCATTTTCAAAAGACAAAATCTTTGAAAAAGTTTCTTTGCTTATGTGCTAGTGCTACTATTTACGCCGAGCTATACATAATATTTAAATCTATCAACGTTTCTGTCTAGTGAATACGAACCTCGGTTCTAGTAAAGGATCCGTCTAGAACATCTAGAAAATGTAATAATTATTTAACCTTCGAAAAGTCAATAAACCGTTTCAAAATCGGTTAATTTATTATTAAAGTAGATGTTTATTGACATCAACTCTATGATTGATTACATACAAAATTAAAAAAAGTTTTTAGGGAGTTTATTTCGACTACTTTTCGTTGGTAACTGATGGTAGTTTCTCGTCACCTGTCTGGGGGTGGAATAAATCTAATCAGAAGGATCAGGTTTTATTGTTTCCCGAATGACCTTAAAAGATTCATTCGCATCTTTCTTAGATAACCTTTGCTTTTTTCCGTTCATAATATTTTTTAGAATTTATGCGATTTTGTTTTTGACGTTTCCTGCGATCTTCGGGTAATAGTTCTGCTATAGGAACAATTTTTCCTTCTTTTTTTAACCGGAAATATCTTTGTCGGTCTTTTTCTCTTTCTGCCATATACCTAATCGGGTCATTTTTTATCCTTTTTTTCCTTTCTCGCTCTGCTAACTTTTTCTTTTCTGCACGCTCTTTTAAACTTAGTTTCTTTTTCCCACGGCGCTGAACTAAAATTTTAATTACTTCAATAACCATTTCCTAGTCATATTTTTATGCATGAAACCAAAATTAATGAAACAATTTCTTCGCGCAAATGAAGTTCGGACGTTCCACTTTAATTTTTGAAACTCTAAATATTTTTAGCCATACATTTAATAATTATAAGACGGCCGACATCTCAATCTAGTAACCACTGGTACAGTAATGATTTTGATGCGTCGTCCAATTATACATACAAAACACCTGAAAGTGTATATGTAAAAATAAAATAAAAATTTCCATCATCCATTTCAAACGGTAATAAGTGTAACTAACCTCTATCTACCACCACTCCAAATAGTCGTTTATCTGATTTTACATATTCTATGAATACCAGCCAGACATGCGCGTCATGGCAATAGTGTGTGTAATGCATGAGTGTGGACGCGGAGGGTAATCTGTTTATTTTTTCTGTTAAAAGTTATTATTAAGGAAAAGTATGTGCGGATATATATGACAAACAATTCTAGACCAGAAAGCTATATTACATTATGTCATACCTACTATTGCAAGAACTATCAGAAAGGTCTGATGACTAGAGAGTAAAGATATCATTAAAAAGTATAGAAAAAGAAATCATTTCGTCAAAGCAACGAGAAAAGTATTTCAGAATCGTAATCTTGAACAAAGTAAAGGACAATTTTAAAAAGAGATTTTGTAGAAAAATCGTATATATAATTTATTGTAATTAGGTATGTTTTATTGCTTCTAATTTTAATATAGGCCATATTAAGACAAGGAGCATTTGCAGACTTATCTTTTAATAGAATCATAAAAAACGAAAGCAAATGGAGAGAATCGGTCTCTGCAGAAGCTTATATCTATAAAGGAAAAGTGCAAAATCACAAACAGAAAGGCTTATGATATTTCCTACATATGTTAGCTACTCGTTCCAAAACATAATTGAATATTTTGGTAATTTGATAACTTGTATGTTAATGATTGTGCTACATAAGCCCTTCTATTGCATATCTTCAGATATGTAAAAATTATTTTTGATAAATAAAAATACTGTTTATTTCGATTGCATGTCATTTATTTTATACTTAAGGCGAGCCTTTCTCATTGGAAAGTCAAAATGGACAACAAAAAACATATAAAAAATATATTTCTAAAATATGAAAATATTAATCCTACATTATTATGAGAATAGAAGGAAACAAAAGAAACAATTATAAAAATATTTATTTAAAAACATTTTAACTCTCGCATGTCGACGCCCAAGCAACAATTAATAATAAAATTATTCAACGAGCCGACTTACTTGTTATGACAAGAGCAGAACGGACTCTGGCCCATTCTGCTCTAACCACCAGCATCCGCTAAGAGAAAACAGGACAATAATAATAATTTACCATTACCACCATTTGCTGAGAGGAAACAACATAATTATTATATTTTATTTATATGCCAGTTACATAAATACTTACGAACCCTGACTTCTGAGTTAGAGACTATAGAATCCAGTGTCTTCCCAATGACAATGAGAATAATTCTAATAATAAAATAGTCACAGTGGGCAGCAAACCCATGTGGAAAATAATTGAATGGTGATAAAGAAATACACGCGGAATGGAAGTAGGTAGAGAACCATAGAATAACAATGTCGTGCTACTGAGTGGGAATCGGCAAGATAAATAAAATAAAAAAAAAGTATGCGTTGAGTTGTCACAATTACTGTTTCAGAATTCACATGCAAGGTGTAAAGAAAATTCGTTTCTTTCGCCTCCTTTGAGTCGAGTTTATCTGCTAACAGCTTAATTATTTAACTTTAAGCGTAAAAAAAATTACAGCATAAAGTAAATACCGTTTTTGATAATATGTTTTACTCTTTGGTGTGAATGTTCTAGGTCTTGTCTGATAATCTTTCCATCATGACGTGATTGGAAGAAACGTGCTTTACACCTCTTGTGTGCCTGAGACCTGCAGCGCCACACTTCTGTTGTCTTATTTCTATTTGTCATGACGAACGCGTAACCATTTATCATCGCAAGCGTCTTGCCGGTAATTGTTTTAACCCATGTAACTGAAAGCAAAGATCTATTTTAACATAGCCCAAAATGGGATATATATCTTGCATATTTTAACATGCAATACCAATATGTAGAGCACTCGAGTAAATCCATGTCCTTTTTTATCTTTTATGACCTGTGGATATATTCCATAGGTCCATCAGGATCTCCAGCAATCTACATTAGACATTTTAGAGTCTCGGGCATTATTAGATGATACACCTTTATTTTGAGACCTAATTATCAATTAAATATTTTACAATAAATAGGTACTAATGTTATAATTATTCAAATTTCACAATTATATGGTGTACTTATAAAAACAATTCTTGTTCTTTGTAAAACATTCTTTATTTTCACAAAATATTTTTTTTTGTTAACACTAATATATACCAGTTCAGAATAACCTTTCTGTCTGCAGTGCATGCTGTCTAGCAAAAGGACAGTCTAACCCTTGGTGGAGATAGATGTTATATGATAGACTGCTAAGTATCCCTAAAATGCAGCTAACCAAAATTAGTAGAGTTCTTAATATATCGAATTTTAAGAGCGTTGTCCATATTCATAAAATAACCTCGTGTTTTTATGTCTTAACCACGTGTTTTATTCAAGTGGAAGTATAATTTAGATTTATAATGCAATTAATCGATTGTAATAAAATAATTATTGATTTGAAAAGTAATGCTTAAGTAGATCATTAAACCGAACTAACGGATTGCGATTTCTAGTTAAATAGCAAATTAATGAAAATAAAATTACAACAGGGCGTTATTTAATTAAAACACTAATATTCATTTTATACGAGGGTCAAACTGAAAGTTCTTAGAACTGGCCACTTATAAACAATATAATAAAAAAATAATTCTAAAATTTGAAAATATAACTCTTTGCCAATATTACTGAGTATATATTTCATTCATTTGTCATTTGTTTTACGATTTGGCGGCAAATTGAAAATTGTCTGTGTCACGTCATCATGAATTTAACACGAGAAAATTTTCGTGCAATGATTTTTTATGACTTTCGATGTCATTTAAGTCAACAAGAAAGTTATGATAGACTACGATTGGCCTTTCACGATGAAGCCCCATCTCGTGCGACTGTTTACAACTGGTTTAATGAGTTTAAACGTGGTCGCACTAATCTCACTGATGATTTACGTGAGGGACGGCCTTCTACGGCGACGACTGAAGATAACATCTGTGTTGTGCGGCGTATGATAGAGACTGACAAAAGAGTGACCTATCAACAGATTCGGACAAGCTTAGGCATCGGTATGAGTCAAGTGCACAAAATCCTCCACGAACATTTAGCGGTCAGGAAGCTTTGCGCCCGGTGGATACCTCATAATTTGACTGAGGCTCAAAAACTCCATCGTGTGGATTGGTGTCGTAAAATGATTGAAAGATTTAACGGAGGTGACTCAAATGCTGTGTTCGACATACTAACAGGTGACGAAAGCTGGATTTACTGTTATGATCCTAAAACCAAAAGACAATCTGCTCAGTGGGTGTTTCCTTTCGAGGAGTTGCCAACTAAAGTGAAGAGAGATCGAAGTGCGGGAAAAAAAATGGTGGCCTCGTTCTTTGGAAGGATAGGTCATTTTGCAACAATTGTGTTAGAGGATCAAAAAACAGTTTCTGCAGAATGGTACACTACCAATTGTTTGCCACTTGTCTTGGAAAAAGTTCGAGAGAAACGACCTCGCAGTAGGATCCTCCTTCACCACGACAACGCCTCGTCGCACACCGCCAAGCGAACGATCGACTATTTGGCGACATCAAACGTTGAATTACTGGGTCACCCGCCGTATAGCCCCGACCTCGCGCCTTGTGATTTTTATTTATTTCCAAAAATTAAAGAAAAACTTAAAGGAAAGCGGTTTATGAATGCTGAAGAAGCGGTGGCTGCGTATCGCGATGCCATTGAAGAGACCCCTAAGGACGAGTGGGCAAAGTGCTTTTCGCAGTGGTTCCATCGCATGCAGCGGTATATTGACGTGAATGGACAATATTTTGAAAAGATATAATAAAACTAATAACTGGCTAATGTAATCAGTTTTTGATTTTCTAAGAACTTTCAGTTTGACCCTCGTATTAAATAACCTCATTACTTCTTATAAATGTTTCATTGTCTATTAACAGTTTAATAAAATAGTTAAAAAGTAAAATATCGCAATAAAAATAATTAAATAGTTAAGTAAATTTATTGAATAAGAAACTCTGAAAAATAATTTAGACAAAAAATAAGATCAAAATTAATTCTCAACTATTTAATAACATTATTTAATATATTTATTGTTTATTGTTATTCGGGCTTTTATTATTATTATAAATATTATATATTGCATGAAATAAAAGAAACGCATTATAAAAATTCTGTGTCTTCTGTATTTCGGGGGATAGATTATGGAACGCAGTTCAACGATAGATAGATGCCGCTCAACATCAGTTGCTATCAAATGCCTACTAAATATCGATTATTGGTTACGGGCGTAATAGTAGACACCATTTTTGACGAAATAATTAACTCTTTCATGGGAATGTTCTAGATATACTTGGGAAATGCTGCCGTCATAAGAAAGATGAAAGCGAGCCTTACACCTTCTGTGGGCTTGAGCTCTGCAACGCCACACTTCGGTTTTGTTGATTTTACTGACGAAGGTCAGAACGAAGACGTAACCGTCGATCATGCCGAGCCTCTTGCCAGACCTTGTTTTAAGCCATTGTACTAAAAGTAAAGACAATTTATTATTAGTTATTATAAGTTTAATTTATTTATCGTGAAAAGACTATCCAAATACACAGAAATATTTTTATAAGTTTCTTTTTGAAAATGCTTTCATTAAACAATTATTCGATTTTTAACATATTAACTGTGTTATAAATGTAACAGATTTGAAAATCGGAATATACTACGATATTCGCACTTTTAGGCTTTATACACTCATTATTATCACAAACAAAATATTTAAACACTATTTAAAAAAAAGAAAAATTTTATCTGCTCTCCAGCATATTTATTTAAAACTTCAGAAGCTGTTTTAGATTGATATATTAAAGTGCTAGCTATTTAATATTAATCCAATACAGTTTCTGAATTTTTCTAATAATGATTCGATCATTAAAACTCACTTTATAAAAAGAATGTTAAAAATGTTTGTATTAAAAAAAATCTAATCTAATGTTAACTGTCATTCATAAAGCGTAAAGAAAATCCTTTTTTCGTTTTATGATCTGCTATCAGCGGTATTTTATATTTAAAAAACAATACATTTTCCCAGAAGTTTTTTCGAACAATGATTTACCAGATTTATTACTTCAATCGAACAAATTGCTTTCTTATATTTTCACGCACATCCATTAATGAAACAACTTTTTAATGGTTTCATAGCGTTTGTATTTAGTTTTATTGACGTTTCGGACCCTTTACAGGATCCGTGTTCACATAAGACTAAGGTGTGGATGTGGATTGCCACAATCCACAGCTTTGATAAAAGGTTGTTAATTTAGATTGCTAAGAATTATCTTTATTTCTAGTTTACGATGGAAAACGATGGAGAACATCCACTGCTATAACTTTAAAACGATGATATTCAAAAACTTCCATACCATTTACTTCTCAAACATGAACACCTACATGTTTTACAAGCGACAGCAAATATCAAAATTAACGTCATTGTTTTACAGGTATACTGTATTTTAATTACCAATCATAATTTAAAAACATATATCAATCAAAACAAAATTAGACTTGTCCAATTTAAACAAAAATCTTATTAATTTATGAAGGCCTCTATTTGTAAACGTGCGGCAAAGTAACCGAATATGGAATAAAAACACTAACATGTGGTATTTAAATTAGTCTCAATATGGTTTAATTTGTACACTGTCAATAAGTCCAGGACATCGTGACCAGTGTACGGATTCACTTGGCTTATATATTCCAGAATAATTAAGAATCTAATTTCAGTATTCCTTTTTGGGTACATTATTCAATAGTTCGTTTCCCTCTACTAGTTCTGGGTGACGTCTTTTAAAGGCATAAAACCAATTCTTACCAGCCATCCGATGCTTTTTACTAAAGGTGTGGGGAATGTTATGTTTTTCCCCTAAATCAAATGCAAGTTTCCGAATATCAGTGATGGTCATTCGAGGCATAGTCCTTTTCAGTTCTAAAATATGTTTGACTAAGATCTTTTCAAGTTCTACACTGAAAATAGGCTGTCTCCCTTTAATAACTACTGAATCATTAGCAATTTTATTACTCTTACGAGCATGTCGTAATATTGTTGCTTTTGGGATACA